GGTCATAGATTATCTGCAGCCCACCTATGAACCACTTAGGTGTCCATGGACCCTTGGTTGAGAACCAGCCCCCTCCAGCTAGAGAAAGACCCATTTGGGAAACCAAATGCTGATCAGAGAGTTGCTTTGATGAGCATGGACTCAGAACATATGCCCTAGATAAATCAAATTCATATTTGGCTGTGGCTTTCTCTCTGGACAGTCCTTGGAAAGGCTGCTACCAGAGTTTTCCTCCGTGACTTTTTTCTCTCTCAGTCTATATAGCTGATCAATCTTCCTTCTGACAGACACATCTTTTCCTTAAAAATGTTACGGTAGCTGACATGGAGATGTTTTTCATGATCAGAGGGAAAAATGAGGAAAAATTAAGACAGTGTGTGTCTTCATAAAGTCAAATTTATTCAACGCAAAGGACTTTATTCTAAGACTGTGTTCTTCCTGTGCTTTAGAGTGTTAAAATGTCTCTCATTTGACAGCAGCATTTAAAAAATGATTTCACTTGGCAAATTAAAATTTGGGAACATTAATTCTTACCTTAATTTTGCTGGGTCTTTGAAATTCTGAACTCTGGGAACCATTGATCTTGACTTGGGGGGGTCATTCTGCCTCTTTGAGGATAATTTAACTATCTCTTCTTTGATCCATTTTGTATTCGCCTTTAGACATTAATTGATACAGTCACCTTATTTTATGAATTTCTAAATTCTTAGGGACAATATATAGCACATTTCCTTTGCCAGGTAGGTTACCATCATGATGCAAATTTCTGTACTTGATGTTCCTCACTCTATCATTTGGTAGGACAACTAAGGTCCTCCTTTAAGTCACCTTTGTAGTCTACTTCTGTGGCTGGACCATCCCCTCTAAAGGACTTAGGTGACCATCTCCCCCCATAGGTGCCTATTTGGGTTCCCCTTATAACATTTCTTTGCATATTCCCTCTCTCCTCCGACCCCCCTCCCCCCATGGCTCTCACCCCGACTTCTGGCCTCAGATTTCTAAAGATCCTTTTCTTCCTGCTCTAGGGTCATTATGTGTTATCAGAAAGTCAATCAGAATTGGAGGAAAAGCAAGCATCTGCTCTCTCTGGAGGAGTCCAGGTTCAGCCAGCTGCACACAGTGACTTGGACCCCCAGACCACCAGCCAACAGCCCACCCAGTACATCATCACAACCACCACCAACGGGAATGGGAACAGTGAAGTGCATATCACTAAACCCTAACTCCCACCCTCAAGCCAGAATCAAGCAGTCACATCATGTCTTTTCTTATTCATATGTCTGGAAGCTTCTGACACTTACAACTCCTTTTTAAGATTTATCATTCACTCAAGAGTTTGAAAATCACAGTTTTGATCCTCACCAGGGCTTATTTTATCCAGATCATCTTTACCAAGTGGACTCTTCAAACCCTAGGAGTTCCCGCCATGGAATGGAGGTCATTCAGATTTCAAGATGGAAAAACTTTGCCTTGCTCTTGAACTGGTTTTTTAACACATGGATAAGCCTTACTTTTCCTTTATGGAAATATTAAGATGTATTGTGTTGTACCAAAGGTGGAGAAAGGATGTGCCAAGTCCACGGCCATTGGACTTCTTAATCCCAAGCCACGGCACCAGAGGCAAAGGGGCATTTTGTAGGCGCATATTAGGTTAGAACTGCTTCCTCTTGTGAGTTTGCATTTTCAGTAATATAACAAAGGGAGCCCACTGAATATGAAAATTACAATGATGAAACCTTATGATGGTCTGAAGGAAAAACTGTCATCTAAATTTTTCTTATTGCTGATTTTTAAAAAACTTGCCATTTCGGGGAAAAGCGCTGTTGGGCTGTTGGTAGTGCTTTGCACAGACCCTGGTCCTTAGCAGATTAGGTCAGAACCTCGTGTTCTGATAGATCTTACTTTATTACTCCACAACTATGGACTCCCTGTACAAGGAAAGGTTGCTTGATGTCAGCAGAATTTAAACTCCCACCTTAAAGCTTGCTCTCCCATTCTCTGGTTGAACTTGTATGAAGGAGATACTGGAGATGACAGTATCAAGGAAAATGGCTACAGCAACTATACAGAGAGTGAGAAGCACTGAGACCTCGTCCTGCCTTTCAGGATCCGTTTACCACTCGTTGATAAAGGGCGAACCCTTGCCCTTCCCTGGTGTACCTGCAACCCTCACTCACAGCGTGCGTGCAGTGTATTTTAGTCCTTCCAATACTGTCTTAAAATGAACATTCTTTCAGGTTGGATGGAAAGGTGGTCCTCCTTATTTCTTAACACTTTAAATATAATTGCAATTCATCTGGGCCTTTTGGTAAGATAACTAACTTCACACCTTGGGGGAAAATTTTAAAAGGTGGGACCATTTATAATGTCTGTTAGTGCATTTATAAGGGATCTGGAAGAAACCCAATCTTCATATTACATTGTTAGTTGGGAGAGGGAGAAAATTCTGCCTCAATGATAGTTTTTTTTATCATTGTTCCTGTTTGGGAGTCTTAGTAGATATGAATTCAGTGGGGGAAGGTATTTCCCTTCCTTTTACTGTACATTCCAGTTGTGCACATAAAACATTACAGAAACCAGTAGGTATTTTAGCAACTTTTTGTGACATACATTTTTAGAATAATTATGGAAATGGTAGAATTTATCATTCCAGAACAGGAAGACCGACCTTCAGTTTCGAATGAAGTTAACTAATTTATTTTATTTACATTTCTGGGTAAAAACTGGCTCTACAAATTAAGAAGTATAGTAGCTTCTTTATGGTAAAGATACCTTTCTGAAAAGTAAGCAGTTCTATTGAAGTAACTTTACTAATATGTAGATTTTGCACTTTATTACTGAGACCTCATTCATGTAGTTAGCCCTGAAAATTTAGGCACTAAGAGAACCTGAGAGTTCTTAGGTAGTTGTGTGGAAAATGAAAATGGACTCTGTATCTTTGGTAACAAAGAGGTAATGCTGATGTTTTCAACAGAAAATACAGACTGTGTGTCACAATGTAGAGATTCTGAGTCCCACAGTCCTCCACTGTGATGATTACAAATCTCCTAGTGTCCAGCCTCAAAAGATTTGCTAGGTAAAGAATATCAGGCTTTCCTAAAGGTCCAGTTAATTTTTTGGCCCTATTGGGTTCCTTTTTTATTTGAACCAGCAATGTACCTCCCTCCCCTCAGGAATAACTTGACTAAGATGGAAAACTATCATTGAATAGAATGTTCATTTTATGCCAGCTATTTCAAGTATTAAGATATACAGAAGAGAAAAAATATTGTGGAAGGACTTTTGTTTCTTTCCCATTTAAGTTCCTTTTTTTTTTTTTTTTCGTCCTTACGTGGAATAAGTAAGGACTCTAGAACTATTGATAATTTGTATATTATCAACCAGAGATGCAGGTGTGGCAGTTGAGCCAAACAACTTTGCTTTAAGATCAGGTATTCAGCACATTTATTTTAAGGTAATGGATTTTGAAAAAGACTTGGATTTGAAGAGATGGCAGATGATAAGCCATCTAAGACCCAATCTGAAAAAAAATTTTGTAGACACTGTTTATACTGTGGTCTCTCCTAGGACACGTTGGCACTGTAGACTTCAGTGCAGTGGTTGGAGTAGGTTACATACAGATTTTACATTTTTACTGTTTGATTTGTGCCCACATAAACAGACATTTCATCATGTAAACTTACTGTTATTCTGGGAAAATCTGTTGTTTTGGTCTTCTTGAATTGTTTTCTGATTTGGAATTATCCTTTCAAAAAACTCTTTAGGGCTAAAAAGCACTTCGTGAGATGCTGAAGCTGACCCACAGGTTGGAAATGTTGACCCTACCCTGTTATTTAAATGTGAACATTTATGTACATTCAGTGAGTTATAGTGTTAATAGTCTTGTGCTACTCAGCAGGTGTAAAAATTAATAAATATTTTTTTTAATAAACATCCTTCTTGTTTGTATGTGTACAAAATACAAGAGCTTCTGATAGTTACTTTTTTTTTTTAACAGTACAACTTGCATTGTTTTGACTCTGGTTTACTCTGGTGTGGTCAGAGACACAAGGTCTGGGAATTTATGGCTGACAGTATGGAACGTTGTTCCCTGTGCTTTTAGTTGGTGGTGTGTGATTCCAGACGAACTCCCAACAATCTAAAAGGAACTAGAGGCAGGCGTGCAGTCAGCGAGGGAACAGAGATTGGCTTTGTTTGGAAAGCACTGTTTTCCAAGCAGGGAGGAGCACTAGTTTGGCCTGCCAGCTTGTCTGACATATTTCTATGCAGAGAACAGAGGACAATCCCTGAACAACTGGTTGGAAGTACCTGTGTAATAAGAAGTTCGAAGCCGTTCAAAATAAAACCTAGCGAGTTAGAAGAAAGGGGCCTAAGTTCTTAACCATCGAGAATAGTTGAGAGAAGGTATAGTAATAGAGAGAAGACTATCGAGTTTGATTTAAAATGTATTTTAAATGTGTGTACTTTCTTTCTGAACGTCGAGGGTCCAGGGATGGGAGAGAGAACTGGGGCCACGCCGGGGTTAGTTGGAGCGGCACAGGCTCTGATCAGCATTCTCCTCGATGAAACTTGAGAAATCACAAAATAGGAGCTAACAGCGCACCACGTGGCTGGTACAAAGATTCTTGGATGGAAAGTGCTCAGGTGCCAGGAGCAGGGTATTGCGCTCTGCAAACGTTAGCTAATAAAACTGCATTCACTCACTTATGGGCTCCGGAGCCTCAGCTCGCACTCAGGTAAAGACTGGCCACACCGGGTTCGCCCTCCGGACACTTCTAAGCCTGGTGAAATGAACGAGCCAGACAGCAGCCGGCCCTCCAAGGTCCAGCCCTGCGGGCTCTCGGCACTACAGGCTGTGTGCCTCGTGAGCCCCGCCCCGGCACCTCCGGCCCCGCCCCGAAAGCCACGCCCCCGGCACTTCCAGGCCCCGCCCCGCGCAGCCCCTCCCCTTCCGCCGCCCGGCCCTGGAGCGTGCACGTACCGAGACGCCTTGCGGGAGCGAGCGCGTCCGGTTTGGGACCCCGCGGGCTGAGAGGTGCGGCGGGTTACGAGACCGGCTCCCGCGGCGCAGGTGAGGGCAGGCCGGGGCGGCGAAAGCGTTAAAGTGTTGTATGGGGAGCAGAGGGAGGAAGCGAGTGGCCGGGTCTCCGAGGGTCGCTGCTCCCTCGGGCTAGAGACAGGGGAGCGGGCGCGGTGGGAGCCGAGCGGCCTGGGTGGGTGGGGGTTAGGGTTAGCGCGGTCTGGGGGAGGGGCCTTGGGCGCGGAGGTGGCGCGGGACCCGGGCCTGGGGCTGCGGAGGGGTTTGCAGTTTGAAGCGAGCGGCTGCCGCGGCCAGAGCCTGGGGTTTAACTTATGTGTTGGGGAGGGGCCTGGAGGGAAGGTTCTCCCAGGTGCGGAGAAAGGGCGTTGGGGAGAGAGGCCTTCCTGGTTGGTCAAGCGGTCCAGGACGCCGCAAGAGTTAAAAACGCTAAAAAAAAACCCTTGGCTTCCGGGGTCCCGACCCTTTGGCAGCTGCCTGCTTTCTTGTGTTTTGAGATTCTCTAAAGAGTAGTTGCAGGGCAAAGGTTGCCACTCGGATAGGTTACATTTAGCGATCCGTTCCGTGTAATTGAAGAAACTGGTGAGCAGTTTGTGAAACAGGTGGTTCTTCTAAGAGTCAGGTAAAACCCTGCAGCTGTTACCCTCTTTGGTGTCAGTTCTGTTAAGAGGGCTGTATTCTGAACATCAGGTTGCATCTACTTTTTTGTTTTGTTTATATAAGTTTTATTAAAGGCAAATGCATTGTGCTTTCTCAACGGTATCAGTAATTTAGGCATCAGAAGTGTTCAAGATGCCGTCCTTCATCGTGTACTGAAGGGTGATGGGACATAGTCCCATCTATGGGGACCACTCAGCTGCTTTGAACAGGAGTCTTTCCACTATATCATTATGTAGATCTGACATCTCTTACAGATAACTTGAAATAATTAGGGGAAAGGTGCTTGTTTTAACAGTAATATTACAGGCCTGCTCTTTATCCTTTGAGAGTTTTTCAGAATGAAAAGTCATTAGATGACTGCATTAAGCTATATGAATGTATCCATCTGGAAATGATTCACTGCAGGCTTCCATGATTGGAAGTAACTGTAGAGAGGACCAGAGGACCAGGTCCTGCTCCTCTTCATCTTAGATAAAGAAATTGATAGCTGGTTAGGTAAGATGTGCTCAGAGTCGCTGAGATGAGATTAGGAGTTTGGTTAAAACTGTTTTTAAACCTGTTTTTATTCCTTTCCATTTGGTAGGAATCAGAGTTGGAGAAGGGGTTTAGCAAATGTTTGTAGAGTGGTTGAGTTCAGCCTCCCCTTGGACCAGTTGTTAATAACTATGGCCTCTGCTTTGCACCTAATTCCAGCCATCAGCCTTATGAGATGCTCTCTGAAAAAATTTTCATATGTATGTTTCTAAAGGTAGCCAACAGTGTTCACTTATTATAGGAAGGAGAAATATAGCATTACATTTACATGGTTGTACATATCAGCTGGACCAACTAAAGTGCATTGGCCACTGACTTTTAGTGTTAAGAACATGGATTTGCAGTCCTGCACACCTGAATTTCAGTCCTGCCTCTGGGGTTGGGCAAGTTGCTTACCTATTCTGATCCTAGGTTTTAGTATCTGTAGATGTAATAACCCTATCTTGCACACTTATAAGAATTAAATCAGGTACATGAAAGGCCTAGCACTTAACAGGCCCTCATTAACTTAGTGTTACTTTCTGAACTTCACTAGTCTCTGGATTTTCAGTCATTTCTTTTATGAGGGAACAACAAAGAGTTGCTTAAAAAAACAATATTAAGTAAACTATATTAGTGTGAGAGATTTCAAGTGTTGGTTGCTCAGTCATGTCTGACTCTTTGTGACCCCATGGACAGTAGCCCACCAGGCTCTTCCGTCCGTGGAATTCTCTAAACAAGAGACTCGAGTGGGTAGCCATTCCCTTCTCCAGGGAATCTTCCCGACCCGGGTATCAAAACCTAGGTCGATCTTGCATTGCAGGCAGATTCTTTACCATCTGAGCCACCAAGGAAGCCCCAAAAGTAGTGAAAGTGTTAGTCCCTTAGGGAAGTCTAAATGGTGGACTCTGATCTAGTTATCATTTAATCTATAAGTCTCATTTTGCTTGTGTGTAAAATGAAGGTATAAGAAATTCTGTTAATTGGGGAGTTGCTGTAGAAGTGTTCTGAGTATTGGGGGAGACCTACTGGATAAGATGTGAAATTCTGATGAGGATGTGGTGAGAGGGAGGGAGAAGAGCTGTTTAACAGTGGTTAGGGTTTAAGGATGGAGAAGGCAATGACAACCCACTCTTGTACTCTTGCCTGGAAAATCCCATGGATGGAGGAGCCTTGTAGGCTGCAGTCCACGGGGTTGCTCGGAGTTGGACATGACTGAGCGACTTGACTTTCACACATTGGAGAAGGACATGGCAGCCCACTCATGTTCTTGCCTGGAGATTCCCAGGGATGGGGGAGCCTGGTGGGCTGCTGTCTATGGGGTTGCACAGAGTCGGATACGACTGAAGCGACTTAGCAGCAGAGTTTAAGGATAAGGTAAAAGAAGAAATTAGAGATTGAATATTTTATGGGTTGGATATTTTGTGAAGGAACATTAGTGTCAAGAGATCCCTGGGGTTTCCGCCTTTGTGTCTCATGGTTTGACTGCATGGATTTGTCTAGCTTACTTGTGGAACATAAACAATGGATTCCTTGGACCATATGCTGACGGATCCCTTGGAACTGGGCCCATGTGGGGATGGCCACGGCTCGCGGATCATGGAGGACTGCCTCCTGGGGGGCACCAGGGTTAGTCTGCCTGAGGACCTTCTGGAGGACGTGAGTAGTGACAGCCACACTGTTGTTTCCTTCTAAGAGTTCTTCTCTACACTCTTTTCTACACTCTGCAAGTTTTCAGTCTTTTGTGCTCCCTTCTTTCTGATTTTCTACATTGCAACCAGAGCGATGTTTTAAGTGTAAATCTGTTTAATATTCTGATTAAGGAAGAAAGTGTAAGCTTCATTCTACATGTTTAATCACATGTTCACTTGATAATATGGCATAAGCCGTATTTTAACAAGACAATTTTCAACAGTTTGCTACATTTTTTTTTTTTTTTTAATTATTTGGCCGCTCAGCCTGCGGGATCTTAAGTTCCCTAAGCAGGAATTGAACTTGCACCACTGTGCAGTGAAAGCAGTCTTATTAACCACTGGACCGCCAGAGCTATCCCAAGAAGTTCTATATTTAAGGACCGAATTGTGTGTATCTTTTATATTAGATGTTTACCCAAGTTGTGAATCATGATACAGAATGCATACATTATCTGTCCATAAGGTAACCAGCTTTCTAGTCAATTAATAGTTCATTTCTTGAGGTAGTATTAATAGTGTGCTTTTGACCACTTTTCACAGTTGAGCTGTGCAGTCATCATTGTTAAGGTGGCTACCATTTATTTAATACTAACTATGTGCAAGGCACTAGGTATGCTGAAACATGTGTTTATTTATTTTGCCGAAGTTCAAATATACGGACAGGTATAGAGTATCATATGGTGAACATCCATGCATTCAGTTTGGGAAGATACTTTCATTTAGTCATATTTGGTTCAGATTTTTCTTTCATCATGTGTTAAAAATTGTAGATAAAATTAAACCAGCATTTTGCCCGTATTGCCTCCTTTCGCAAAGTAACAGCTACTGGACTTGGAATATGTCCTTCCCATCCATGTTTTCTTTGCATGCTCTTTCAAGTAAACCTCTGTATGTCGTTCAGTCGGCCAGCAAGCACTTGTTTGATCTAAGTGCTTGCTCTGTGCCAGATGCTGAGATGCCAGTAGTAACGTGGTATGCAGAAGCAGGTTTGTGCGGGGAGGTCTGAGACAGGGAGCCGGAGGTGCTGTGTTGCCTGCCTGCTGAGACACCTGCAGGTGGTTGGTCTCTCGGTTGTCTCCTGCTTGTACCCTTCACTGTCTCCTTACTGCCTGTCCTTGTCATTTAGGATAAAGTGACAAGTACTCACCGTGTTCCTAGGTCCCTTGCTCCTGTCTTACTGCCTGCTGCTTCTCTTGCCCTCTTTCTTCTTGAGCTTCTTGATGTTGCCTGGACTTCTGTTTATTTATTTACTTGGTTGAAGCGGGTCTTTCTTAGGGCGGAGTGGAGTTTTAGCCGATGGACCACCAGGAAAGTCCCCTGAACTTTCTTTTTTTTAATTAAAAAATGAAAGGTATCTCACATAAGAATGTATGAAGTGCACACGTATATATATATACATACATATATATGCAGTTTAAACAGTAATAAAACACCTGTGGAGCCCCCACTTGAATGCTGACTCTCCTCTTCTCCCACTCTATTGCCCCTAAAGGTCGCTGCTGTCTTTTGTAGTAATTATTCTTTTATTACTTTGGGTTTTGCTCTGTGGGTTTTTAACCCTTCTGCCTCAGCACATTCTCCTCTTATCCCTTGCTGTCTTAGATAAGTCACCTCACGTGAAAGGTGTTCTCTGAGACCGTAAGTCTGGGGAGTGTGCTTCTCCTGTGTACTCACGGGTAAACTTCCACTCCATTGCAATAGCTTGTTTAATTATTCTCCCTCCAGACAGTATACGCACTCGTCCATCTTAGCACACGGCACTTAGGATGTGTCCTGTACATAATTGCCAGGTGGAGAACAGACCTGGTCCTGCTGCTTCGCGTTCTCAGCAGATGCCCTCAGCTCTTAGAGTTCTCGCCTCCCATGTGGACTTTTTCTGCCCCTCATCTTGAGTTGAACTGAGATGTTCACCATCTTATCCCCCATTGGCAGAGTGGTTTCTAAATGAGATTCTCTCTGCTGAGCTCATTTTCCTGAGGATTATTATTTACCTGCTGGGTATAAGATTGTGGTTTATATGTAATCTTTACTGATCTCTCAAGTTTTTTTTTTTTTTTTTTTTTGGCTGTCCTGTGCGGCTTTTGGTATATTAGTTCCCCAACCAGGGGTTGAACCTGGGCCCCAGCAGTGAAAGCACGAAGTCTTAGCCACTGGCCTGCCAGGGGATTCCTGACAAATCTCTCAAGATTTCAGAATTGGGTAAAGATCAGTGGAATTTTAGTTTGTTTAAAAAACATAAAAACTTGGATGGTGTTGATGGTTGCACACCATTGTAAGTGTATTTAATGCCACTGAACCGTATACCTTAAGATGGACAGAATGGTAGATTTCATGTTATGTGTATTTTACCACTTATGCACAGAAAACTTAAAAACTTTGTTTTTTTTTCTTGTTTGCTTTCCTCCTGCTTTTCCTGATTCTCCCAGCCTGAGATCTTCTTCGATGTAGTCAGCCTCTCAACGTGGCAGGAAGTGCTGAGTGACTCTCAGCGTGAACATCTCCAGCAGTTTCTGCCCCACTTTCCTGAAGACAGCATGGAGCAGCAGAATCAGCTCATCCTCGCCCTGTTCAGTGGGGAGAACTTCCGCTTTGGGAACCCTCTGCACATCGCCCAGAAGCTTTTCCGAGGTGTGTAGCCCCACAGTCTTGTCTTTAGAGGCTTGGGAGTGGGAACACGCCCCCTTCTGTGCGTACTCCTTGTTTCACGTTACTCTGCTTTTATGTGCAGACGCTGTCCACTCAGAGTGGTTTCAGGCAGCACTTTGCTGCCTCGGCTGTTCTTCTTTTCAATAAAAAATGTTCACTTAATAGGAAACATAAATCATAGTGGATATTGCTCATTGATTTGTTATATGAACCCAGCTGTGTAGCCACCACTGAGATTAAGAAGCAAAGCATTATTAGCATCTTGAGGACACCCTTTATGAACAGTCTTCAGAATTCACTAAAGAATTCACTTCACGAATTCATTCATTCATGTCAGTTTACCGTTTGGCTTGTCGCACATATTTATGTGTGTGTGATGCGCATACATTTTTTTCCTGCAGAAAAGTTGACACTTTCCCACCAGGTGCTTTAGCATGTAGTGTATGTCTTAGCAGAGACATCCTTCCACATAATCACAGTGTTAATACCACACCCAAGAAACTTCACAGTGAACAGTAATAGCATAGTAGCCCTTGTTCAGATTTTCCCAGTGGTTCAGTGTCCTTTATGGTCAACTTTTAAATCCAGGTTGTGCTCATGGTTTGTGTGTGGTGTGTGGATTTCCTGTCTCTCAGCTCCGTGAATCTAGGACCTTTTTCCCCTTGTCTTTCAAAATACATTTGTGACAAGCCCAGGACACTTGAATTGTAAAATGTCTTGCTTTCTGGGGAGTTAGCATTGCTTCCTCACGATATAAATTTGGGTTAAACATTTTGCCAAGAAAGGAAATGGGAAATTTCATCCCCCCACCCCTCCCCCACAGGGGGCATGCGATCTCAGTCTTGCTTTTGATCACTTGGTTCTGTGGTTTCTGCTGGGCCTGCTGACTGTAAGGGCACCTTTCTCTCCCTGTAATTAATATGCAATCTATAGGGTCATATTTGGGGACCATGTGATAATCTTATCTTCAGAAAGCCTTTGTTTTCCCCGGTGGTTTTAGCCCCCACCAATCCTTTCCTGAATCCGTAATTACACTGGGGATTCCAGAATGGGTTGGGGTTACTCTGAAGTCCCCTTTGCTCCCTGTCCCATGGAGAGGAGCAGAAGGTGCTTCTCCCCTTCCCGCTTTCTGGGGTGACTTTGCTTTGGCAGGAGCCCCTGAAAAACACCACCTCTTGAGTTTTGTTAAACTGGACAGTTTGACAGCTGCAGAAATAATGGAGAGAAAAGCTTATCATTTCATACCTCATTATCTTAGGGGTTCAAATGAGTGTTCCTTTCTTTGGTGGGTTATTAAGGAGGATTTCCCCTCTGGTTGGCCAAGGTTTATGTGGCTGAAGCCACATCTCAGGTGGGAATTAAGCTGGTAGGCCTGGTTGGTGGTTGAGGCCATGTTAGGGACTGTCTGTGACGTTGGCACGTTTCCTTCCAAATCAAAGTGATGGTCCTGGTGAGGATGCAGACAAGGAACGTCAAAGTAGGAGTTCTGTGATTCTCATTGTCCTGCATCGTATTTCAGGTCCAGTGTTGATGAGGATGGCTGCGTCACCATGGTTACTATGGTTATGTGTCTTGACGGAGTTGGCATTGCTGCCAGTTCTCTTACCTTTGGTTTTGTTTTCCTGGTAATGTTTTAGATAGACTCCTTTTTCTTCTTAAGCCCAGGTGCTTCTCAGGCTCCCTGGTGTTCTGTTTCTGAGGAAAGCCTAATCTGTCAGGGACTCGGCTTCCTACTTGTAGCCGCACCCCAGCTCACTGTGGTCACTGCCCCCTCACCTACTTGTCTTGGAGGAAGGACCTTTCTTCATTTAAGGCTGAACCCCGCTCTTGCTCTTTTCATGTTTTGCGTCCTCTAGGACCTCATTTCTTAGCAGTTGTTCCACCATGTGTATTTGCTGTACTTGTTCTTTTTCAGTCTGTAGATGGGATCAGGGATCTCACACTGAAAAAGTCCTTAACCATTGTCCCCTTCATCATCATCTGTCATTTTCCCTTTTCTCCAAACTTCTGGCAAGACATCATAGCTTGCAGTCCTTGGGGGGCTGTCCCCTGCACCTGTCAGCACCTTTCTAAATTTTAAACTTCAAACCTACAGAAAAGTGATGAGAATCTGTAATTGACACCCACATACTTCTCACCAGATTCACCAACTATTAACATTTTGCCCCTTTTTCTTGTCCTTGTTGTGCTTATTACCACTATTTTTAGTTTCCCTGAACCACTTGAAAAATCCTAATTTTTCAGCATTCATCTCTGAAAAGCAAGAACATTCTCTTAGGTAACCAGAAATGATCAAGTTCAGAAATACATAAAGTACTGTATTGAATTTAAATTCTGAATGTCAGTATGAAATTTATCACTATTATGCTACTGTGTGGCCCATATTCTTATTTTGCTACTTGTTCCCAGTGCTCATTTTTTCCTCTGGTCCGTATTTCTTTTCAGTGAAAATGCAATTTGCAGATCAGCAGATGATTTTCAGTTCTCTTCTTAACCCATCCGTAATGTCTGATGTCTTGACCCTAATGTCTGATGTCTGAAGTGAGACCTTCGCCTCCCCGCTTTGCACTCGTGGCCCTCCCGTTCCTGCTGGGCCTTGCACACCCTTCCAGCATACCCCTCTCTGCTGAGTCCTCATTGACTCACTGTTCCTGCCTCTGCTCCTGCCATTAGGCCCACCCTCCCTCCTTACTTGCCTGCTCCCATCTACTAGCTCTTCTCTGGGAGCTCTTATTCGGGCTACTTCAGACACCATCTCCACACAGCCACCAGCGTGAGCATCTCAAAGTTTCAGTTTTCAGAATATTTGCCAATTGCCATCACTTGGAATAAAATCCACCACCTGCCAGGCTTATTTGCCCTCTTACCAACCTCACCCAGGGCTGTAGTTGCCTTTTCCACTGCTCTGTGGCTCAGCGCGGGCAGTGGAAATACTACATGAGCCACATGTTCAGGTAAAAAATTTCCAGTGACCACATTAAGAATACTAAAACCAGTTGATTTTAATGATGTGTTTTCTTTAGTTTGATGTACTCAGAATTCTATTTTTTAATAGAGCATTTGTCTGTTGTGCTTGTCAAAAGTTGGGGAAGCTAAAGACTGAAGGAAGGTCACATCAGAGAAGTACAGAAGTAAAGAAGTAGAATTTTCGTTCAATTCCTGTATGTCAGCATCAGTAGCATTAAACTCTTGCGTCTTTCCTTAAAAGTCAAATTCCCTATTTCTCTACAGCAGGCAGCGTTACATCATGGTGGCTGAGAGCTTGAACTCTCGAGCTGGATGGCCTGTTTTCAGACTCAGTTTCCCCTTTCAGCTGTGTGACCTTGGACAAGTTATATACTTTGCCCACGCCTCAGGCACTTCTGTAATGTGAGAATGTAGTGGTATCTTCTTTATGCAGGGAAGAGGGGTTGTGAAGATGAGGTGAGTTACTATATGCACGGCCCTTACATGGTGACAGTATGTGTCAGGTGCTGTTTGCTCTTATTGATTACGTCAAAATGTCATTAAAGGCGGTTCGAATAAAAACAGACATTTTGATTCTGTGTTTTAGCTCTCTGAGATTAGCTGTTCTTCTATCTGTCTCCTTAAGTTCACATTGTAGCACCCTGCTTAAATCTAATATTCCAAAACGGACTTCTCTCACTGCGGCTCCCATGATGGCACCAGTTGCCTGTGTCGAGTGATCTGGGTACCATGCTCCTCTTCCTGCCCCAGCATCCAGGATGTCAGCAGATCTAATCTTTGTCCCTTGAAATACATCTCAAGGTTCTACTGCTGCTCACTTAACCACTACTTAACTGATCAGCTGACATATGCCTTTCTTTAAGGTTCTGGAGCTGCAGTCATGCTCTTAATTCTAATAGGGGAAAACAAGATGATAGATAAGCAAGTGTGTCTCTGTGTTACGAACTGCAGAGACTCAGGAAGGGTAGTGGGCCTGGGAGTGACACGAAGGAGCTGTCTTGGGTGGTAGTTGGGTAGGGCTTCTCTGATGAGGTGCATTTGGACAGAGGCTGCGTGAAGATCTGAGGAGCAAGCTGTGAAGACACTGGGTCTTGCAGGAAGCCTTGCAGGTGGAAGGACACTAAGGAGAAAGGCCTCTGGGAAGTATGGTGCACTTGGGAAATAGCATGGAGGCCAGTGGGGCTGGGGTGGAGGGAGCAGAAGGAGGGCTGGTGGAAGAAGAGGCTGCGATGCATGGGGCCCGCACAGCAGGGTCTGTAGGCCTCCTGGGGCCTCGGCTCTGCACTGGATGTGGGGGACAAGGTGGGACCAGGCCACTGTGGGCCCTCACCTGGACCACTGCAGTGGTGCCATCTTTATCTTTTGCTCTTGGTTGTGTTGTTCTCTTGCTTCAAATCCGTAGAGTTCCCCAAGCTATACAGTAGGCTCTCATTATCTCATCTATCGTATACATAGTAGTATATATATATCAATCCCAACCTTGAAATTTTTTAAACATAAGAAAAGTTGAAAAACAGCATATACAACGCACACCCATGAAACTGACCCATGTTCGTTAGTTGACGTTTCCCACGGTTGCTCTAATCAGGCCTCATTTTACGTCGCCGCCTCTAGAGAGACTCTTCTTGCTCTTGAGGATTGTTCCAGGTTGGTTCCTGCACAGCCTCAGGGAGTCGAGTCCCGGCGTGTGTGCTTCCTGTGTCTCCCCACCGCCCTTCGCGCCCCCTCCCCGTCGCGCGGCCTCCCCTCCCCCAACACCGTCCCCTGGTCAGTGCAGAGCTGTCCCCTCCCCAGCCCGCGTGGACGGTGGCTGATGTGGCTGTTCCTGTTCCTGCAGACGGACACTTCAACCCCGAGGTGGTTAAGTACCGGCAGCTGTGCTTCCGGTCGCAGTACAAGCGCTACCTCAGCTCCCAGCAGCAGTACTTTCACCGGCTGCTGAAGCAGATCCTGGCCTCGCGCAGCGTAAGTGTCCCCCCTCCTGGGAGCCGCGCGGACATGCACCTGGTGACCCTAAAAAAGACCACGAGGAAGGAAGCTGCCTGTCCACCCCTAACACGGCCAAGTGCACCCTTCCTTCTTCAGCTGCATTTTCAGACGTCTCCTGATTTCAGAGATGTTAGGACAGAGGGGAAAAAGGATATGTCTTAGAATCGATGAAATGTCGTAGCCTCTTTATTCACCCAGAGAGGTGGCTTTCAAGTCCATGGTGGGTCATTCAGGAGAACCAGGTTGCCCTCAGTTTTGCGTCTGTGTGCCGAGGGAAGCCAGGTTTAGTGGCCCCAGGTCTGGACCAGCCTCGGGAGGCTTTGGGGTCAGGTAGTTATGACCCTTAGAGCACCTGTAAGTTTTGGTGTGAAAATACTCAGGTGTCTGGTGTAAGTATTCATTCTCGATGGAGTAGCTCTCCGATTTGGGATTTTCCACCGTAATCAGTACAAGCCCCTTTTATTTGAACGTATTCATCCACGAGCATCTTTGTGATCGGAGGGAGGGAATTGAGCTCGTTGAAGAAGAGAAGGAAGCAGGGGCTTGGGGGACCGGCCAGAGTAAGCTTCCAGGACCCCGTCCTGTCTGTCGTGTTTGCAGGACCTGCTGGAGATGGCCCGGCGGAGCGGCCCCGCCTTCCCGTGCCGGCAGAAGCGGCCCTGGCCGTCGCGCGCGCCCGAGGAGCGGGAGTGGCGCACCCAGCAGCGCTACCTGAAGGTCCTGCGAGAGGTGAAGGAGGAGTGCGGGGACACGGCGCTGTCCTCCGACGAGGAGGGTGCGTGCCCTCGGGCCCCGGGGCTGGCGTCCGTCTCACCGCAGCCGCTTGTGCGCCTGGAGCGCTGGGCGCTGTTTTCCCACCCCCGCGATGAGGAAGCCATGCCTGTGCACTATGGCCTGTCTGAGCCGGGAGTGAGCTTGGAGTCCCTGGTCCTCCGGCCTTGAGGCACTCCCGCTGGGCGGCTGTGACTGCAGACCCCTTCGCTCTTGGCACTCGGGTGCCCGAGGCCCTACCGCGGGCTCTCTGGTTCTGCTAGCTGCTCGAGTGGACTGCTTCCCCACAGGAGGGGCGTAGTGACCTGGCCTCCACAGTGATCCACCACAGTGGATGTCTCTCCTCCTGGAAAAGCTGCTTACGTGACCTCAGAGCTACAGTCCGACTGGGTGGGTGGGGTCCGGAGGGAGTGCTGGAACCTGGCTTCCTGCTTGTTGGCGTAGCCATCTTGAACCCAAACGACCACTTGGCCAGTCTTCCCTGCCGGGGTCCAAGGCCGTGTTGGATTTACAAGGAAACTTTTCTTTTGAAGATCTCAGCTCGTGGCTTCCAAGCTCCCCAGCACGCTCCCCGAGCCCTGCTGTTCCCCTCAGGGTGGTGCCCACGCTCTCCACCACAGACATGAAAACCGCAGGTGAGCACTGCTCTGGTGCCGGGGCGTGGCGGGGGGGTGTGGTGGTGGGAGCGGCACTGGCTTATTCCTGCCAGGAAAAGAGCAGTGTTCCTTAGAACCGGGAGGTTTGGAGAAGTTTTTGTTTGGCTCTACTTTTTTACAAATAGGCCAGCTAGCATTTCTTCCTTTACTATGAAAATTTCCCTTAGGATTTGATCAGCTGGCATTTTGGCCTAGAGAAAGCAGAATCTTAAAATAACAATACTAAGGTACAGTTTAATAATAGAACAAGAGAGGTAACCAGAGGCATAACAGTTTCTTGGCACGTCCATGGAATTAGAGAGAATTTTTAATTGGATAGGAATCAAAGAAGACTGCGGAGAATCTTCTAGGCGTTTCAGGAGCAGCTGAGTACAGAGGTTATTGTTACTGACCAGCTTGCGGAAGAGCTGCAGAGTTGAGTCAGTCACTGTCCATATTTTAAGACCGCGGTACTTGGAGCACACGCGTCAGAAGGGAGACCCAGAGATGTCTTACTTTTGAATACTAAGGTGGCCAGGAAGATGTGAGTCTGGAAATAAGGACTATCCATGTGGTTCCATTCCTTTTCCCTTAGATAAAATAGAGCTGGGGGACAGTGACCTGAAGATCATGCTAAAGAAGCACCACGAGAAGCGGAAATACCAACCAGTAAGATTGGAGGGGGTGGTCGGTAGCTTGTCAGTCTAATCTCTGAGCGGATGTCCTGAGGACCATACAGGGAGTCACTGCGTCCTCAGTCCCTTTCCTTGTACTTGTTAGAGGGCAGGAGCAGCATGGAGGCTCAGGAACACCGAAAAGACAAACACTTGGACTTCATAAGACATGCTCACCGTGTTGTCTGATCTAGCCTTTAGGACAATACCGCTGTGTGAATCATTATGTCCAGTTTGCAGGTCTCAGAGAGGCCAGGGAGCTTGTCTTCTGCCTGATGGCTAGCAAACAGCAGAGCCAAGCATCAGAGCCTGAGCTCCTCCCACATTTTATGTTTCCGTTCCTCCACACCACCAGATCAAGGTCACGCCAAGCCAGAGTGTGCAGTGGAGGAGGAAGGGCTGTCCTTCTAAGGCAGAGGGGTGAGATGGGCAGAGTCTCCATGGGAGTTAAATCCAAGTTCTGTCTCTGTCTTTTCTGCTCGCCATGATGTTGGGTGAATCCCTTCATCTCTCTGAGCCACAGGTCAGTCTTTCTAAAATACAGCATCACTTAACAGTAGTATTTGAAGAACATATAAAGAATGCACAAGAGCTTTATGAACTTTAAATGCCACATATGAAAGGTTCTCCTCTGCCCTGATAGAAAGAGCAGTAGTTTTTCTCTGTGTATGTTTTAAACTCAACACAGTTTCCTCAAGCACACCTACCATCTAATTGTGTCTGTTAGGTACATGGGCAAAATCACCAGCAATGCCTAGCTCCTCTCTGGGGCCTTGATAACAGATCTCTGAATATCGTGTCTAGGATCATCCGGACTTGTTGACAGGGGACTTGACTCTGAATGACATCATGACTCGAGTGAACGCCGGCAGGAAGGGCTCGCTAGCAGGTAAGAACATCCTGCAGAACGTCTGACTGGTGTCTGCTCATACAGGCCTCTCTGCATAGCGCAGAAGGAAATGTAGCTACAGCCTCCTCCTTGCTGATGATCTTTGTTTCGTTATCGCCTCTTATGGATTTGTAGGTGGAGAATGGTTATTAAATCAGATCAACAGATCATTGGCTTTTTAAAACACTCATTGGGTTTGGTTTTAAAAACAAAACTATGTCTTATTACTGAGGCTTTTCTTTCATTTGATAGTGGGCCTTGGGAAAATAATAAGCAGATAATTCCCTCGTTTCCTGATGTGGATGTTGTAGTTTTATGACTTATGTTGTTTTTTCCTCCAGCCCTGTATGACTTGGCTGTCCTTAAAAAAAAGGTTAAAGAAAAAGAGGAAAGGAAGAAGAAGAAAATTAAATTGATCAAGTCGGAGGTGGAGGACCTGGCCGAATCCCTGAGCGGTCCTGAAGGGCTCCCACCCCTCTCGCAGGCTCCATCCCCTCTGGCCATAGCCGCCGTCAAGGAAGAGTAAGTGAACAGAGGGGTTCATGGCTCAGGCATACATCTGTGCTGGTGCCTCTTCTGAGCCCTGAGTCCCAGGGTCCTGGGGGAAGTGCGTGGTGTGGGCCTTCACTGAGCTGCATCCGTGACTGCTGGTAGGCTTGGAGGCCCTCCAGCACTTGGGAGGTGTGGTGTTTTTTTTTTTTTTTGGTGGTCCTTATCTTTTTCTTCCCTTACTAGGCCTCTCGAAGACCTCAAGCCTTGCCTTGGAATCAATGAAATATCTTCCAGCTTCTTCTCTCTTCTGCTGGAGATCCTGCTGCTGGAGGGACAGGCTAGCCTTCCTTTGGTGAGAGTTTAGGAAGAGCCAAGGGCACTGCGGTTTCAGGTGGTAGAAATCTTCAGCAGACTGTGGCTTGAGAGTCCTGGGCTCTCCCCAGAGTTCTGCAGCCAGCTTGCTCTGTGACTCGGGCTCACTGGGCAGACACCGCCGGCTCGTTCCAGCACGGCCATGGAATTGCCGGTGTGTTGACGCAGTGGAAATCTAACCAGGCCCTGCCTTTTCTCTCTCCCTCAGCTGGAAGAGCGGGTTTTGGATTGGCAATCCTCTCCAGCCAGCTCCCTCAATAGCTGGTTCTCTGCGGCCCCCAACTGGGCAGAGTTGGTATTACCAGCCCTGCAGTATCTTGCTGGAGAAAGCCGTGGTAAGGTGCTTTTTTCTGTAGGGTCAGTGTCTCTCTCCCTCCCACCCAGCCCCGCCTTTATCTGATTCTCCTGTTAGAATGGTGCCTCACTGCTTGCATCCGTCATGACTCTGCCTGACGCCATGCGGCGATGGGCTGTGCTGCCCTGATACGCCGATGATGCACAGAAGTGACCTCCCAGCCCAGGGCAGTCTGTGGTTCTGGGTTCAGCACTCTCTGGCCTGTGCGGCTTGCTCATGGGCGTCCATTTCTTGTAGCTGTGCCATCCAGCTTCTCTCCGTTTGTTGAATTCAAGGAGAAAACCCAGCAGTGGAAACTGCTTGGTGAGTACTGCATACCACTGACCTGTCACAGAGGTTCTTTCTCTTGTTTTCTCCCCTAAGCTTCTGGTGCCTTCCAGGCAGTGCAGGCCACGAGAATGTTGAGAAGGGCAGAGTTAGGCCTTGTTTTGCTTAGTAAGAGGATCCTTCCAGGCCCTTAGGAACTCTCACGGTCTAAGTTCGTGAACCCCATTGGGTTTTGGCTAAGGTGAAGTTGCCCTGTGTCCTGATGCTCCCCAGGGCTGCTGAATTGAAATCTGTGGGGTGTCTTACAGTAGCACCTGTGTTTCTGTCATTTGTATCTGTGCCTTTAGGGTAACTTACAGTAATATGATTGCTTTTCTTTCCTAAAATGTGCTTTGTTGTTGAGGATAATGTGTTAGGCAGCCCCAAGTAAGCTGTTTCTACAGGAAAGGCTCCCTTTGTTATAAATTTGTAAAGTCCCACTTAGCACTTAAGCTGTAGTAACGTGTACTTGAAATAACTTGATGATGAGAGGAAGATTCGTGTTGATTTCCTGTGGAAATACTCAAATCTCTCTCTACTCTGTCCAGTGGTCTGTGAAGAGAAACACAGAGAGAAACTTGTGAAGCAGTAGGTTCATTCCTTCCTTACAACGGTGATTCGCCTTCTAGGTGTCAGGCGGTGTTAGGTGTTGGGAGTATAATGGTTGGTGACGTAAACAGTGTGCTCCCCTCGTGGAGCTTAAGACTTGTTTGGGGGAACAAATACTCAAATAGCAAACGTGCACATTCTGTGAGGGAAAGTGCCGGTAGGGGTAGTAATGAGGCATTGATGTGGTGTGCATGCAGAGTTCGAGACAGCTGTCCTGGGGAAGGTCATTTGAGCAGAGTTCTTCACGATGGCTAGGGACCAACCCAGCAGCAAGGGGGGAAGAGGCTCCCATGGAGGGAGTGGTGTGGGTCAGTGGGGCGGGGAAGCTTCCTTTCAGGATCACACCAGCCTGCAAAGAGATCATGATAATCTGGACCTGGGTAGGGAGAACGGACGAACTTCAGAGTTTTAGGTAAAAGCTAGAGAGGTGGTTATGGACTGGGTGGTGAGCGAAGGAAGAGGGTGTCAGGTTTCACTGGTGCTGGGCTTGGACCTGGTGAACGGACTCCGCCATGGGCAACTGGGGAGGACGTCAGGCTTGGTGAGGGTGAGGAGCATGCGTGTGGTCACGGACATGCTGCCTTGAGCTTCCTTTGGGGTGTTGAGTGGATGGTGGGTTTAGAGTCCAGACCGGAGAGTCAGGGTAGAGAGCTGTGGGCATGTGTGCAGTAAGAGAAGCCAGAGGCATGGGCCCACTGAGGAGGCCAGAGGGCCCGGGATGAAGCCTTGAGAGACTCTGAGGTGGGAGAGGCAGAGGGGGACACCGGAGGCAGTGACCACAGAGTGGGGAGGAAGCCGTGAGGTCTGACTCGGGATGGGGAGTGTTCATTAGCCGCCATGGTTCCTACAGCTCAGGAGGTCAAGACAGGGTCTGTGGACACGGAAGAAATGGTGATGCTCTTGGAGGAGTGATGCAGGCTGTGGCCAGAGGTGTGCTGAGGCCATGGGTCCAGCTGCTGTGGGGCCGGGGGCGATAGGCCTGACCCAACCAGGGAGAGTCTGGGGCTCGTGGGTCAGATGCTTCTGCCGCAGCTGCTCAGCTCTGCCCTGTGCAGGGCAGCCAGAGACTGGACGTGGGCAAACAGCCACAAAGCTGACCTCTGCGTGCGCTGTGGAGAGCTGCGTGTCCTGGCTGTCAGGGCCCTCTCCTGCAGCTCTCCGCCAGTTAGGGAGACAGTGGATATGGACCGCGTTTTCTACAGTGTTATCTGTTGTTGTTATTTATTTTAAAAAATTTTTTGTTGGCCGCACTGCATAGCATGTGGGATCTTCATTCCCTGATAAGGGTTCAAACCAGCACCTCATGCATTGGAATCATGGAGTCTGGAGCACTGGACTGCCAGGAATGGCCTGGGAAACTTTAAAAAATTCTGATGCCTGGGCCTCTCCACACCTGTTCCGGTTGGTTGGTTTGGGGGACCCTGAGCCTCGCATTTTCAAAAGTTTCCAGGTAAATCCGCATTACCAGGGTTGAGAAACTGGATTAGGCATCTTGAAGATTCCTGTTTTAGAGAATGTCAAGGTCTAGTTGTGATTGTGGGAGTGGCTGAGAAGTTAAGGTGTTGACTACACAGCCTGTGTGGATGTCCATCAGACACTTGAAGTTACTCCTGTCAGGCTTTTAATCCCTTCAAGTTGGTTTCAAGTTAATTTCCGTGCATGTTGTCAGACAGCATTCCACCTTCATCCTGCCTGTGGACGTCCAGGCCGAGGGCTCTTCTATACACAGGACCATTGCTGCGGTCCTGGCAGGTTCTTCCTCGGGCATATGTACAGTGAGGAGGAGGAAGTGGAGTCCTTACATTGTGCCTTTAGATCACACTGTTGTTATTTTTTGCCTATTTGTTCTAATAGGCCAGTCCCAAGATAATGAAAAGGAGTTAGCTGCACTCTTCCAGCTGTGGCTGGAAACCAAAGACCAGGCCTTCTGTAAGGTATGTTGTTGAGAACCGCCAGCTCTCTCGTCTTGGGCTTCCAGAACCCTTGAGTTAACTGGAATTCTTCAGTCCATTGACCTGTCACTGTTTTCCTTTCTCCAGCAAGAAACTGAAGACAGCTCAGATGCCACAACGCCTGTTCCTCGGGTGTGAGTATAGCAGTGCCCTGAGTGAGGCTGGTGCCCCAAGAAACCCTTGTCCCAGTCCCGCCCTGGTTGTGCTGACATGTCCTTGTATGTCAGAGCCGGAGAGCTTGAGAGAGATTGGGTCCCTGGGTCCTTGCCTTCCTCAGCCTCCCTGGGGGGCAGCATGCTCCCAGAGTAGGAGTGTTGCCCCAGGAGCCTGAGTGGCAGGATCCACCTACAGGTGTGTTCCCTGGTCTCCCTTCAGTTCCTGTGCAGAATGGTGTTTCTGGGTGCTGGAGAAGGGCTGATGGGCCTGGTGGTTCTGGATACTGGAGAAGGGCTGATGGGTCTGGTGGTTCTGAATGCTGGAGAAGGGGTGATGGGCCTGGTGGTTCTGAGTGCTGGAGAAGGGGTGATGGACCCTGGTGGTTCTGGATACTGGAGAAGGGCTGATGGGTCTGGTGGTTCTGAGTGCTGGAGAAGGGGTGATGGGCCTGGTGGTTCTGGGTGCTGGAGAAGGGGTGATGGGTCTGGTGGTTCTGGGCGCTGGAGAAGGGGTGATGGGCCTGGTGGTTCTGGGCACTGGAGAAGGGGTGATGGGCCTGGTGGTTCTGGGCGCTGGTGGAGTGCAGCGTACCCATAGGTCTTTGTGTTCCAGAAGGACTGACTACGTGGTGCGGCCCAGCACAGGGGAGGAGAAGCGAGTTTTTCAGGAGCAGGTGAGAACAAACTGGAAGAAGGGAAGGGAAGTTGCTCAGTCGTGTCCCAACTCTTTGCAACCCCATGGGCCTCCCACGCTCCTCCGTTCATGGGATTTTCCAGACAAGAGTACTGGAGTGGGTTGCCATTTCCTTCTCCAGAGGATCTTCCCGACCCAGGGATCGAACCTGGGTCTCCTGCATTGCAGGCAGACGCTTTACCATCTGAGCCACCAGGGAAATCCTTGAACAAACTGGAACTCATGTAAATCTCTGTGTCTGCGAGACCAGGTGAAGAGATGCTCTGAGCCCAAAATTCTTGGAAGCAGCTCACACTCTTAACCTCAGCTGTTTGTTTAGTTGGGATTGCTTTTCCGGAGCAGAGATGATGTGAGGAAGGGAATGAGAAAACTTTTGATGGTTTTTTCTGCAGATAACAAAACACACTGACTTCTTGATGACTTGGCTAGTGACTGGCCTTTGGGGGTCATCCTTTCCCCACTCTGGTCAGCTCAGTGGTCCTAGTGGAATAGCCTGATTCCTCCTTGTTCCAGTCTTTCCAGGCCAACCCCTTATTGCTCGGGGTGGCTGGAGAGACCCCTCTGACTGACTCAGGAGCTCGTCCGTTCTCTTGACAGGAGCGCTACCGGTACAGCCAGCCCCACAAAGCCTTCACCTTCCGCATGCACGGCTTCGAGTCCGTGGTGGGGCCCGTGAAGGGTGTGTTCGACAAGGAGACCTCGCTCAACAAGGCACGGGAGCACTCCCTGCTGCGCTCTGACCGGCCCGCCTACGTCACCATCCTGTCCCTGGGTGCGCCCCCACCCCCACCCCCCAGCAAAGGCTGGAGGGTCAGTGTAGCTCCAGGAAGCTTTGCAGTGGGAACATGGAGGGTGGGCTCCTGCCCAGAGTCACAGGGAATCCTTGGTTCCTTCCAGGAAGCTTTGCAGTGGGGACATGGAGGGCAGGCTCCTGCCCAGAGAGTCACATGGAATCCTTGTTTTCTTCCTGGGTTCTGTGCTCAAGTTTACGTTCCTTTAGGAATTGTTCAGTTAGCTTAGGTGCCAGAATTTGCTTCCTCCAGACTAGGATTTTTTTAAAGGTGAGATTTTTCACCTTTTTTGTACCATGAATTTTTGGCAGTCCAGTAACCTCTGGACCTCTTCTCAGAATTAGGTTTTTAAATGCCTGAAATAAAATGCACAGTTATGAAAGAAACCAGTCATATTGCAAAAGATTCAAGCAGGTTTATGGTGCAGAAATAGGTCTTTATTATGATAAATGGTGTGACATTGCCGCAGGTGTTGTGGATCCTCTGATTCCTGCGTAGTGATGAGTAGGAATGATACTTTGAGTTGTCGCAGCAGCTGTGCTTGGTAAGAAATCGTCTGATTTCTGTTACAACATCACAGCACTGCCAGCTTGTGGTTGGCAACGTATGCCAGCAAAGGTCGTGCCAGCCTTGGCTCACAGTGGAAGGGAATGCTGAGTTTCAGTTTAAGTTGTAATTCTCCTGGACCCCGTGAACTCTCCAAGTTCAGGGCCTTCAGCCTCGGCTGAAAGTGTGAGGGGTGTGGAGGAAGCCACCCCCGAGGGCCGTGTTCCCCTGCTGCTGGGTCAGGCTCCCCCAGGACCCCTGCTGACGTGCTGTCTGCTGTTTCTGGTGTCAGTTCGTGACGCGGCAGCGCGGCTGCCCAACGGGGAGGGCACGCGGGCGGAGATCTGTGAGCTGCTCAAGGACTCCCAGTTCCTGGCACCCGACGTCACCAGCACGCAGGTGTGAGGGGAGGGGCTGCTCGGGTTTTGTTCGGGGGTTGTTGAAGGATGCTTACAAGGGGATACAGAATGTGTGTGCTAAGTCACTTCAGGCGTGTCCGACTCCTTGCCACTCTACGCAACTCCATGGACTGTACTCCGCCAGGCTCCTCTGTCCATGGGGATTCTCCAGGCCAGAATACTGGAGTGGGTTGCCATGCCCTCCTCCAGGGGATCTTCCAAACTCAGGGTTCAAACCTTCCTTTCTTACGTCTCCTATATTGGCAGGTGGGTTCTTTACCACTGGAACCACCTGGGAAGCCCACATGAGGGAATACAGACTGGAATAACAAATTTAATAAAACTGCTGCAGAATTTCCCGGCGGTCCAGTGGTCAGGATTCTGAGCTTTCAGTGCCAAGGGTCTGGGTTCAGTCTCTGGTTGGGAAACTTAAGATCCCACAAGCTGAGCGGCGTGGCCAAAAAAAAAGAAACCCAAAAGAAAGGAGTCTGGAGAAGGGTGAGCAGAGCTGCCCTGTGACCTTGCTGACGGCGAGGCTTTGCTTCAGCGTCTGCTGAGGGTCCTCAACTCACCGTCCTCAGGGTGACTCCATCCCCCAGGACTCAATGTTTCTTGTTTTGCTGAGTGACAGGTGAGCCACTGGGAGTAGGCTCTGTGTGGGGGCTGTGCCTCCTCCCCCCAACCCCGGGTTTTCCTCTGGCATCTGAGCCGGTGGTTTTCTTTCCCCTTGTCCTGGGTCTCAGGTGAACACAGTGGTGAGCGGCGCCCTGGACCGGCTGCATTATGAGAAGGACCCGTGTGTGAAGTATGACATTGGGCGGAAGCTGTGGATCTACTTGCATCGGGACCGCAGCGAGGAGGAGTTTGGTGTGTGCCCCGCTAGCCCAGGGTGCCCTGACGTTCTGTCCCAGCCCCACCCTTCTCCTCCTCGGCATTCGGGCAGGACACCACTGTGCAGGGGGGACGGAGCCCTGGCTTTCAGTGAGACCACCCTCCTTCCTGAGCTCAGCTGCCTGCTCTTGCCCACAGAGCGGATCCACCAAGCCCAAGCAGCTGCGGCCAAAGCCAGGAAAGCCCTCCAGCAGAAGCCCAAGCCTCCGTCCAAGGTGGTGAGTGACCTCGTGGGACGGCGGTGGAGGGGCCGAGCCGTCCCTGCCGCCTTGCTCATGCCGCATGTATTCCCTCCCCTGTGCGTGCAGAAGTCCAGCAGCAAGGAGGGTCCGGTGAAGGTCCTGAGCGGTGGCCCGTCCGAGCAGAGCCAGCTGAGCCTCAGCGACTCCAGCATGCCCCCAACCCCGGTCACGCCCGTGACGCCCACCACGCCTGCTCTACCTGCCACGCCGATCTCCCCGCCGCCGGTGCCGCCAGTGAACAAGAGTGGCTCCACGACAGTCTCGGAACCGGCCAAGTCTACGTCAGGGTGAGCGATTCTGCTTCCTGTCGGGCCTTCCCCCTGCAGGCTCCTTCCGCATGGTGTCCTGAGTTGTGTCTTGTTTCCCTGGGTGCTCCTTGCAGTGTTCTTCTCGTGTCCTCACCAACCATGCCGCAGCTGGGAACCATGCTGTCCCCAGCATCCAGCCAGACCCCGCCAAGTTCTCAGGCTGCTGCCCGTGTTGTGAGCCACTCGGGCTCAGCCGGGCTCCCCCAGGTGCGAGTGGTGGCCCCACCTAGCCTTCCCTCCGTGACGCAGCCAGCAGCGCCAGCCCCGGCGCTTCCACCAATGCCCACGGGAACGCAGATCCGCATGCCGGCCACTGGCGCACAGGCCAAAGGCGGGCCCCAGGTAAGAGGGACGGGCTGCACAGGTGGGCTCATGAGGCTGGTGTCCAGTCCAGGTCGTGACCAAGGACCTGCACCACTGTTGCTGCTGATGGCATTTATCGCAACAGCTCAGTTAATGCTCAGAGTGCGGTGGCTGAGTTGTGAGTTGTGTTTGCACGTTGGGAGTCAGAACTGTGGGAAGTTTAGTGATGTACCCCAGTTTGTGACATCAGGAACGTGGTGCATGGAGGTGGGATGTGAGAGAGGCCTGTGATTCTAGGTGTCAGACTACTTCTGACTCTAACCTTCTCCAGGCCACTGGCCGTGGAGCCGTAAACTAGGGTTTTCTGCCTCAGGCTCCTGTGCTGTGAAGGAGTATGGTGTCTCCCCTCTCCTTGCGTGGTTAACGTGAGATGCTAGACATGAAAGTATTTCTGCAAGTTAAGCTCTTCTACCAGCATGTCAGAGCTCCACACTGTCCGTTTCAGGGGTAGTGAGCGCTCAGCACTGTAAGCTTAGAAGACCTCCTGGGGAGGTTGGATGCATGAGACAAGTGCTCGGACCTGGTGCACTGGGAAGACCCAGAGGGATCGGGTGGAGAGGGAGGTGGGAGGGGGGATCGGGATGGGAAATACATGTATGTCCGTGGCTGATTCATGTCAGTGTATGACAAAACCCACTACAATATTGTAAAGTAATTAGCCTCCAACTAATAAAAAAAAAAAATACCAACTTCCTATTCTCTGGAAAAAAAAAAAAAAGACCTCCTGGGGGAGTGCGTCTTGGGTGGTGACAGCTGGAGACCTCTCTGGGTGCCGGTCTGCGGCGTCCTGTCTAATTAAGCTCTCGGCCTCCTGCCTGGAACTAGACAGTCCTGGCCACCGTTCCGGTCAAAGCGCAGACAGCGACGGCCACCTTGCAGCGGCCGGGACCTGGGTCGGCGGGGCTCACGGTGACAAGTCTCCCTGCAGCGGCCAACCCTGCGAGCAAGCCCGCCACCAGCTCTCCTGGGGGCTCCACTCCCAGCACCCCCACGGCGGCCGTTCTTCAGAACGTCGCAGGACAGAACATTATCAAGCAGGTACACGAAGCCTCTCTGGGCGGGTCTGAGTACTTTGTCCAGAATCAGAGGACAATTGGAGACCTTAGTGGTTTGTGACCTCTGACTCTGAGTTCATTTCTATTCAGGTGTAAGTTTCCAGCAAGGGCAGTGCAAGCTTGGGAGATCCTGATGCTGGAAAGGGTTTTCCGTTTCTTTCCATGAAATTCAGGATTTAGTAGCTGAGTCTTTGGATTTGGAGTCAACTTTTCACGGATTTGCTTACCTAAAAGCCTATAGAATAGCTGGACAAGCATCGTTGGCATTTCACTTTCTGCTTGTAGAAATGGAACATGTCTGTCTGTGCTTTCATGGTGGTGTGTGCACGAAGATAACCATTGAGCTGCAGGGACTGGTTGGGCAGAATCGCGCCGACTGCTGAGGGCAGGGCCTGCGCGGTGCTGAACGTGCTGTAGATCCTGAGAACTGTCGTTGTCATGACACCGCGGGGGCGCCACTTTCGTTATTCCCATTTTACTATGAAGAAGCGGAACCACTAACAATGAAGCAAAGTTATTTCTTCATCAAACGAAGGCTTCTTGAGTGCCTTCTGTGTCCCAGGCACTGTGCAGGGTGTGGGGTCAAGGGGTGTATCACACAGACCAGGTCCCTGCTGTCCCGAGGCTTGTAGCGTCACCTGTCACATGGGGGACAGGCAAGTACTTCCGGGTCGAGTTCTATAAGGCAGTGACAGTCAGTCAGCGGCGTGGTGAGGTCAAGGGTGATAGGCTGAGGTGGCGGCTGATGAGAGAAGGCCCGTCTGGGGACAGGCCTCATGAGCGAGGTGAGCGAAGCTGGGGAGCAGGCCATGCTGTGCTTGGCCGGGCCCAGCCTCCCAGGCATGGGAATGGCACGTGAGGAGGCCTCCATCAGGAGTGTGTGATGAACGACAGGAAAGCAGTTGGAAGCTCCTGAGCAAGTGTGAAGGTGTTAGAAGGCGAGGTTGCCAGCAGTTAAGTCAGGTCAGACTTTGCCTTTAATTTAGATGTGATGGGAGATGTGGAAAGATTGTGGGCTGGGATGACTTGACCTAGTTTTCACTTAAATTCCTGCTTGGGGAGGGAGCTGGGAGGGATGTTCAAGTGGAAGAGAACATAGGTAACTATGGCTGATTGATGTTGATGTTTGATACAATCCAACATGGTACCGTAAAGCAATTATCTTTCAATTAAAAATATATAAATTAAAAAAAAGAAGAAATCCCTACTTGCGCACCGTGGACGCTGGGAGCCCAGAGCAGAAGCAGGGAGCCCACGTGGGCGGGGGTAGCAGCCGTGTAGCTCCAGCATCAGGCATGTGTAGGGCGTGAAACGAGGCCTGAGAAGTGAGCACTCAGTGGACAGGGGTAGTGAGTGAACTTGACCAGAACACTGGGTCATGGATTTTGGGGAACAGGTTCACAATAGAATGTGAGGTGAGGCAGGGGAGACAGTGATAGGTAGCCTTGCTTTCGCTGAGAGCAGAGACCTGAGGCTGCAGGAGGATGTGGAGTAAGGCAGGGGTGGGCATGCTTTTGGTGGGGGGGGGCAGCACTGTGACACTTAGTGGTCCAGCAGAGGTGGGGGGTGGCTCACTAGACACAGAGTTCCCAGCTAGGAGGGTCATACCTGTTGCATGTGGACATTGGCCGTAGGTCAGTAGGCGTGATGTGAAAACCTGGAAAGTCTGGTCCCAGGGCTTATGCCCTTCAGCACGGAGCCTGGTGCTGCCTCAAAGTGGAGGCTGGCTCAGCCATAATTAGATGTTTTGAGACAGTAGGAGAAATGTGAGCATGTCTTATAATATTTACCAGGTAGTTATTAGGTAAGAATAGATAGTTACTTTCAAATTTGGTTCTGGGCTATTTTATGTGAAGGCCTGGAGCAGCCTTGGCTACCCAGGGACGAGTGTGTTGATGAGCAAGATGATATTTACTGGTTTACTTTAAAATATTTCGACTCCTCCCTCCCTCCACCCAGGCCCCTGAAGAGTGGGGGAAAGTAGATACTTCTGGCCATGTGGTGACTTCTGAAGCTGGTGGTACGTGGGTACGTGAATTTGTTAGTCTGTTCTCTGCTTTGGTGACCGTCCTCCATTTTTCAAAATAAAAAGTTAGGAAAGTACATGAAACACACATCTCTTGGAATGGAGTTCCCCAGTTTTCCCCTGAAACCCGTTGAGCCCCGCGAAGACCTGTGTCAGTGTGCTGCTTCCCCTGCAGGTGGCGATCACTGGGCAGCTTGGCGTGAAGCCCCAGACGGGCAGCAGCGTCCCCCTCACAGCCACCAACTTCCGGATCCAGGGCAAGGATGTGCTGCGTCTTCCGCCCTCCTCCATCACCACGGACGCCAAGGGCCAGACGGTGCTGCGCATCACCCCAGACATGATGGCCACTCTGGCCAAGTCCCAGGTCACCACAGTCAAACTGACCCAGGACCTCTTTGGGACGGGCGCCGGCGCCACGGGCAAAGGCATCTCGGCGACCCTCCACGTCACATCCAACCCCGTTCATGCCACTGACAGCCCTGCTAAGGCAGGTGTGGCTGCTGCCCCGTCGTCCACTCCAACAGGGACCACTGTGGTCAAAGTGACTCCTGATCTCAAGCCGGGGGAAGCCTCGAGTTCAGCTTTTCGCTTGATGCCAGCGCTCGGCGTGAGCGTGGCCGACCAGAAGGGGAAAAACACAGTGGCCTCATCGGAAGCGAAACCAGCTGCCACCATTCGTATTGTGCAGGGCCTGGGGGTGATGCCCCCCAAAGCAGGCCAGACCATCACGGTCGCAGCCCACACCAAGCAAGGGCCCTCAGTGGCCGGTGGGTCTGGAACTGTTCATACATCGGCCGTGTCCTTGCCCAGTGTGAACGCTGCCGTGTCCAAGACCGTGGCTGTGGCTTCTGGGGCGGCCAGTGCCCCCATCAGCATCGGGACCGGAGCACCTGCCGTGCGGCAGGTCCCAGTCAGCACCACGGTCGTCTCCACGTCGCAGGCCGTGAGTAACTTCAGGGGTGTAGACTGTAAGCCCAGTCTGTCTCCTCTTTTGACCCGGACAGGCTTATTCACTAAATGACTCTTGTTTAATTCTGAAACACATTTACGAAAGTGTGGCACAGGCAGTAGTTCCCATAACAGCAAAGCAGCGTGGAGGTGCATGGAGTAAAGACGAGCTTTCTCTTCCCACCCTCTGGTTCCTCTTTCATGAGGCTCATCACTAGTGGTGTTTTGCCATTTATCCTCAAAATATTTTCTTCTAGTCTGTCATTTTTTAACCTTGCATATGAAGCCTTTTTGCTCTGCAGGTATTTTATCTGATTAGATCATCAGCATTTTCCTGCTCCTAGGTTTCACCGTCTTACGCCTTAGCCCAGGGTTATGAAGATGTCGGTTCTCATGTTCATAAAATATTTTTAGAGTTTAAAAAAAGTATAATGGATAAATCCACTTGAAATGTATTTCTGTGAATGTCATGTGTGATAGAGCTCATCTTACACTTTGCACATTATTCCAGCATCATTGATTAGTATGTCTCTTCCCAACTAATTTGAGATACTACCCTTACCATAAACCAGATTCCTGTATCAACAGGTGTGTTTTGGGGTGCAGGTGTTTATTCTTTAGCCTCCCGGTAAGGGGCACTGTTCTGTATGGTGGGTGCATCTTGACAGTACAGAACACAGTCTGACTTCCCTAAGTAAGCCGTATAGTAAAACCTCACCAATTAGGATAAAATCCAGAGCGATGGGGAGAGGAGGACCAATATGGTAGTAAAGCCAGCCAACCAACCCTAAAGTGCAGCGTGGCTTTAAAGGAGATGTTTGTTCAGGTTCTCACATCAGAGAATTAAGCAACAAGGTGCTCACTTGATCACTTTTCTCTTGAGTCCTTCTGACACAGGTGTGTCCCACGGCATCCAGCTTGTGGTTATCAGCCGGGGTGACTGTAAGCGGAGAGCTCTGGATGGGCAGGCAGGTTGAGGGGTGGTGCCTAGGCAGCTGGGTCCCTAGCTCACAGAGGGTCGCTTGGTTGGTGGGTGCTGCTCTGAAGTCTCCCCAGCACTGGGCTTCTTAAGACAGCAGTGCAGCCCCAGTCGGTTCCCTGAAGGCAGCGCCTGGCTGTGTTCTCTGGCCTGCTGGCATTGTTCGGTGCTTTCTAAGGGGCTGCATGCAGTTGGGTCATTCGGAGATCAGTGTCTTGCCCGGGAGACAGGTTTCCTCCTGAGTGCCTGGCTCTTGTAGAATCACCTTGCCTGTAGGAAATATTGATTCCTTTTCTTTGCATCTTGTCGACTGCTCCTCTCGAGTTATTTTTTTCAAGTCAGATTTACACAAGATTTTACCGTATATAAACTTTATCAACCAAAGGTTAAAACCAGGCAACCTAAAAACTGGTGGCCGTAGTGACCTACGCGACCATCCTGAAGTCCCAGACGCGCCAGGCGTGTCCAGCCCCCTCTGCGCTCCTCCCACACTCTTCACTGTGGGGTGCACGTCTCCTTTGGGTGAGGTTAGTATCAGTGTCCCCAGCTCACCTCCCTCATCTCTGGGAGGAGCAGCACCCAGGAATGTGCCCTGCTGTGCGCTCCCCCGTTCCGCACCTAACCGTGACAGCTCCTGATCACCTCTGTCCCGGCTCGGTCCTCCGCCCGGCCGCCTGTGCCAAGTGTCAGGGAGCCTCCCCTCTGGGAGCCCTGACTGCTGTGTTGAAGGGAACACACGCTTTCCCTTGTGGCTCAGGAGCACGTTTTATCCTGATGGCGGCAGGTGCACTCTGCTGCTCTGATTCGGCAGGACGGAGGAGGCTCACAGACAGATGACCCCTCGGTAGAACGCGTGAACCCTCATCTGGACCCCAGCTGTAGGAGCACTGGGCCCCGCAGAGAAGCCCCCGGCTCCTGCGGCCCCTGGGTGACCCTGGGTGGTGGTCCTTGCCTCCTCCTTCCGATAAACCTGCTTCTTTTTCTCTGTAGGGGAAGCTGCCTACACGGATCACAGTTCCGCTGTCTGTCATCAGCCAGCCCATGAAGGGCAAGAGTGTGGTCACAGCCCCCATCATCAAAGGCAACCTGGGGGCCAAGTAAGTGCTGTGGGGAATGGGGGAGGCAGTGCTGGGGGCTCCTGGACACGAGGGTATGGGGAAGGCGGCTGGTTTCCTGGGCTCCTTCATTGTGCTTGACAGTGTCTGAAGCGCCCACAGTTGTTTCAGGTGCTGGGGATAAAGTGAGGTCAGTGCTGCCATCAGGCTCATTCTGTAGGAACAGTGAACTGACCTCGTCTCTGGGGACAGAGCAAGGGACCGACAGGACTTACTGGGTGGAGAGGTGTGCTGTCAGGGAAGCTCCCCTTGAAGTCAGACCCTAGGGTGTGATGGCGCAGATGGCGAGGGCCTCCCTGGGTCAGGCCTTTGTGGCTCTGACTTGACAAGAGTGAAGGCGAAGGCAGGAGTCTGGGTCTCAGGGCAGCTGCCCTGGGGCCAGGTTTCTGGCTGGGAGCTCACACCTCCCGACACCCATCCTGACCCCGGCCGGGCACCGAGTAGACGTAGAGCCTTTTGATCCAGAGCACCAGGGGCCTTTGTCTGACATGGGAGTGTGGCAGCTGGAAGAAGGGGGGGATCTCTGACTGGCGTCCTGTCAGTCCAGGGCTGGGGTCCCCGGGCCTGGGCCTGGCCTCACGCCTTTTCCCCACAGCCTCGGTGGGTTGGGCCGCAACATCATCCTCACTACCATGCCGGCGGGCGCGAAGCTCATTGCGGGCAACAAGCCGGTCAGCTTCCTCACGGCCCAGCAGCTGCAGCAGCTCCAGCAGCAGGGTCAGGCCACGCAGGTGAGGCCCAGGGCCCTGGCGGGGCTTGGGCTGCTCCCTTCCCCACGCACTCATCCTCGCTGCGGGCTGCTGGCCATCTGTCCACCCGATGCTCTTTCTGTGAACAGGTGCGCATCCAGACAGTCCCCGCGTCCCACCTCCAGCAGGGAACAGCCTCCGGTTCCTCCAAGGCCGTCTCCACTGTCGTCGTGACCACGGCCCCGTCTCCTAAGCAGGCGCCCGAGCAGCAGTGATTCTCAGGAAGACGTTCGGCGGCTGGACGCCACTCCTGTCGGCCTTCAGGCTGGGAAGGCAGGAGCGTGGTGGCTGCCTTGCCCCGCTCCACCTGGCTGGGTGGGTGTCTGTCTGAGGAAGGCCAGCAGCAGGACGCTGGCCGCTCAGCTGCGCTCCGCGGGGAGTGGGCCGCACCAGATGTCCTGGGCCCCCGGGCTCTGTCTTGTCTGGTCCAGGAGAAGTGTCTCTGGTGGGGGTGTGTGAACTCATCGTGGTCACACGAGCCCAGCTCTCCCGAGAGGAGACACTGGAGACGGGCTGATGTCACAGGTATGTGGGTGGTGAGCGAGACTTGTTCTGTGCAGGGATTGTGTTTACCCTGGTCTTGTGTGTGATTGGTGGTCTGGGTCGGTGTTCTGTGTCCAGATATTTTTATGTAACATTTTTTGCAAAAAGCTGTGTACATCTCTATCAAGTAGAAACCTGGGCTTAGACACGCCCCCACCCCCAAAAACGCGTCTTAAGTTGCTTCAGTAGTGTCCGACTCTTTGCAGCCCTATGGACTGCAGCAAGCCAGGCTCCTCTGTCCATGGAATTCTCCAGGCAAGAATACTGGAGTGGGTTGCCATTTCCTTGTCCAGGGGATCTTCCTGACCCAGGGATCGAACCCAGGTCTCCTGCATTGCAGGCAGATTTACTTAATTTTTTGACAAGAGTGAAAGAACAGCAAGATTCTTAGTAAGTTAGTGGCTTACTTGATAGCTGCCTGGTAACAGAGTGGCCATGAGGTGGGGGAGAAACATGGGCAGTGAGGTCGCGTGGGGTCCCAGAAGTGGAATTAGTGTGGTAGCTCTGCTTAAAGACAGGCAGTCAGGATCTTGACTGTGGTCCACCGTTCAACTGCTGACTCTGTCCTCCTTGTCAAGCCTGTCTACATGTGCGTCCAGAGCCAGTGGGCAGAGCAGGCAGAGGCCAGGATACATAACTGCTTTCGCAGCACAAGCTTTATTGTGGTTCAGACGATACATTTTGCTTTGCTCCAGAGCAAGAGTCAGCAGACCTTGCTCCTTGGGCTGGCTACCTGGTTTTGTAAATAAAGTTTTACTGGAACACAGCCCACACCCATTCACTTAGGTATGGTCTGTGGATGCTTCCAGTTAGAAGGCAGGACTCAGTAGTCACAGAGACTGCACCGCCTCAAGTCCAAAAAATGTCCTGCATGACCCATTGAGTAGAACTTTGCTGCTTCTGCACCGGAATATGGTGGGGCCGGGGGGTGTGTGGCCGCGAGGCAGCACCAGCTGCAGAGATGGGTCTGGGTTTATTGTCATTAGCTCCTGACTGTTCACGGCTCTCAGTCTCCACTGAGCCATAGGCAGAGCTCAGAATGCTGTGTTAAAATATAATTAAAACCATTGGTTGCCAACAGTATGTGCCTCTTTCATATTGGAATGGGTGTTGGGTGGTAAAGCTTTTCTGCAGTCATGGGGCTTTCCTGTCTCTCAGGAAAGTATCCGGGTTATTAAGAATGTTTTCCTCACCCATGAAAGTTCAGTGACAATCTTTGACGGGGTCAGGGTGAGGAAGTGGAGTTGGAGGGCAGAGGAGTGGAATGGCATCTTTGGGAGGGGTTTCTGGGTGGAAGTTGAGTTATCAGGCAAGTTGCAGTGGTGCAGAGAAAGTTATTAGAGCAGCTCACTGGACACAAAGGCGTTTGATTCCTAAAGCAGATCTGTGAAACAGAAGCAGTCATCCCTCTTTTAACTGAGAGAATCTGTGTCTGAGCTGAGGTTAGAGAGAACCAAGATGTGAGTGCAGTCTTCTGGTTGTAGGTCAAGCGCCCTCTTCGCTGCCTTCCTGCTGGCAAGTGATGTGTTCTGGTGAGACTTGGTGGCCGCCCCGAGCCAGGAGGGGTGAACCTGGGGGCCAGATTGCAGGGGTGAAAGTGCGTGGCGAGATGGAGCTCTTGATGGCTGGTGGAGGGCTGGCACAGAGAGGAGGTTGGTGATGGGTGGTGGAGGGCTGGCGCAGAGAGGAGGTTGGTGGTGGGTGGTGGAGGGCTGGCACAGAGGGGAGGTTGGTGATGGNGTGCGTGGCGAGATGGAGCTCTTGATGGGTGGTGGAGGGCTGGCACAGAGGGGAGGTTGGTGATGGGTGGTGGAGGGCTGGCGCAGAGAGGAGGTTGGTGATGGGTGGTGGAGGGCTGGCACAGAGAGGAGGTGGGTGGTGGAGGGCTGGCTCAGAGAAGAGGTTGGTTGGTGGGTGGTGGAGGGCTGGCGCAGAGGGTAGGTTGGTGATGGGTAGTGGAGGGCTGGCGCAGAGAGGAGGTGGGTGGTGGAGGGCTGGTGCAGAGAGGAGGTTGGTTGGTGGGTGGTGGAGGGCTGGCGCAGAGGAGGTTGGTGATGGGTGGTGGAGGGCTGGCACAGAGGAGGTTGGTGGTGGGTGGTGGAGGGCTGGCACAGAGGAGGTTGGTGGTGGGTGGTGGAGGGCTGGCGCAGAGAGGAGGCTGGTGGTGGGTGGTGGAGGGCTGGCGCAGAGGGGAGGTTGGTGATGGGGAGAGGTGGAGGCTGCAGGGAGGGAAAACGGCCTCTGAGCTGAGTGAAGGAGGGTGTGTCCACATGGTGTCACTCCCTGCAGCACGTTGCACATGGAAACCCCGGGTCCTGGTTTCCGGGTGAGAAAGGCAGTAATTTGAGGAATCCTGGCTCTGGTATTTACTGCTGGTTAAAACAAACCCCTTCTGAATTTACTTAACAAATGATTTAATGACGTGTCCAGCCTCAACCCTCACCCCTACTTTTTGCTGAAGTCACCTGACTCTGACTGTCTCCTTGGTGCCCACAGACACTTACATCCTAGCAGACAGGTTTTTTTCCGAGCCCTGGTGATGTGTAACCTGGTGCTACCTGCCCAGCCTGTCTGTGGGTCCCTGGGGTGGCAGCCCCTGCTCCCCCCAAGCTGCTCGAGTGACGCTGCCAGCACAGGCACCAGCTCTGGCTGCTTCTGGGCAGCCCTCAGGGGTCTTAGAGAGACATGGGAACTATCATGGGGGTTTGGGGGGAACAAATCCAGAAGAATTTGGTTCAGAGGCTGGTGTAAGGATTCGGATCACACATCTGAGACTAGATTTGGTACAGGGCATTGTGATGGGTTGGTACTTCATCACACACACCTCCGTGAAGGTGTCTCAACCTGTGCTGTGCAGAGGGTGTCAAAACAAGTTTAGCATTTGTGTGTGACCCTCAACACCTCGATCCCTCACTTTGGAGAAAATGCTGCAGTTTCCTAAAGTGTTTTGTCCCCTCCCAGTGAAAGGAAGACTGGGACTAGGTTCTTTCTTCTCATCTCCAGTCCCTGAGGAAAGAACATGTTTTACATTAATTACCAGTAATAGAACTTGCTTCTTTCAGGACTTGCCCGGTGAACGTTTGGGTTCCTACTTAGCAGGCAGACCAAAGTGAATCCTGAAAGGGAATCCACGGGTTCTCCTCTCAGAATTCAGTCAGTGTCTCCAGGTAGCGCGTTCTTAACCCCTGAGGTGTGACTTCAGCCCTGAGCTGCTGGCTCACCCTGGGAGGCTGGTTGCCTGTCATGTAAGTATAGCATTCCTTCCGCAGAGCATCCGCGCTTCACACAAGTGGCCTCTGCCGGGTTGGTGTGCAGTAGTGGAGGGTGCAGCACAGAGGAGCTGGCCTCTCAGTCTTGCTCAGGACTGCCTTAGGGGCTTAGTGACTTTGTGGCCTTAGGCTAGTCCTGCTCCGCGAAGTGCCCCATGTGCTTGCAGTGCAGGCAATAGTGAGAACCTCACGAGATTGAGTGCATTTCGAGGCCTGGGAAATCCTGTATGAATGAGTGGCACTGTGGGTCCACACGGCTTTTCACATCTGTCCTAACCCACTCTTAGAGAGGCTGAATAACTCCACATTTTCTTCACTGGAGAGTTCATAGCTGGATTCTCACTGCCTGGGATGTGCTTTTCTACAGGGCACCCCCCCCCCCCACGCCTTCTCCCCTCCTTCATGTCCTGGGGACACCAGTCACCCTGCATGGAACTGCTTATAGCTCTCCCTTTAGGCTGAATTCGATGCTGGACACATATTTTATAATCCTTAACAACCATTGCTGTGCTGGTGCAAAGTAAATCTTTAATAAATATTTGTTGAAGGAAGTTTAAAAAAGAAAAAAAGATCCAGACTTAAGACTTGCATATCCAGTGTCTGTTACTTATTCAAGATTCACATTCTTTGAAGGATTTGCAGGATTCTTATCCGTTGCTTTCAGCTATATTTAAATTCAAGGCCTCCCTTGACCTGACATTTCTCTCTGCCTCATGGAGATCTCTCAGCACCCTGTCATTAGGTACTTCTGAGGAGTAAGAACATCTGAGTTCAGCCCTCAGCTGGACCAGACTGGCTTCCTGGTTAAATACAAAGTCACTTTGGCTCAACCTCTTTGTTTATCAACAGTGAGTGTTAATACAATCTTCTGGAGTATTAGGATTAGTTAGGAGATGCTTAACAAGTAGTACTTGAAATACCAAAGCTTGTATATTATTTTACTTAAATTAGAATTGTCTCTCTAAAGGTTCTGTCATTGACTTGATTTCTGATAGGAAAGTACCTGCCGCATTTGAGAGAAACGGGGCTAAATTATCAAAACAGTAAATTCTTCTGGGTTTGTATCCTGAGTTCATCCAGGAGGTCACTTTTCTGTTTTAAAACTTTCAGTCTGATTTCTCCTTATTCTGAGACACACATAAAGGTTGACTTCATTTTTCTAGACAGAATAGCACACCCACACGAACCTTAGTTGGTTAAGCGAGAAGGTGGGACCCTGGGAGAGGATCACAGTGAGGGCAGCAGCGGAGGCAGGGAGCTGGCCCGCTGACCGCTGGCCGAGCGCCTCCAGGACACCCCACCCTCCGCCGCTGACCGGGAGCCGCCCCTACTCCTCGTCTGAGCCACTCAGGAGGGCCTTCCGGTATGTGTGATCCGACCTCAGCTTCTGAATCCCGATGACTTCTCTGTCTTCCGGCCTCTTCACCCGCGTCAGGAAGCTGTAACGGGGACAGCAAGGGCAGACGGGTGAGCCCCCAGGTTGACATATTCCCTCACCCAGGGATGCAGAGGCATTCCCCAGCTCTCTGGGCGTTCTCGCTGTCTCTTTCAAATACTCCCTTTCTGGCTGCTTAGACAGGACTCTGGTAGATGAAGGGCCTCACGGTCAGTAGTACTTAAAGGTTAGTGTTGTAACTGAGACTGGACCTCGGTCTCCCCCCAGCCCCAGGTAATCATTTCACAGACTGGGCAGTAGAACTAAAAGGAACCATGGCCTGTTTGCCTACTGTTTAATGTGTGTGGAACTCTCTGGGTGAAGCATCTCTGCATTGGGTAGGGAAATCAGGAGAGAACAAGGCATCTCTGACAACACAGAACTAGTAGGACCAGGTGCATGGTGGTTAGACTTGGGCTCTGCTGTTTACTCCTGGGGTGACCTTGACCCAGTTACCCAGTCTTGCGAAGCCTTGGTTTCCCCAGCTACAGACATCACGTGCATCCTTCGCAGGGGAGCGTGAAGCGAGGTGATTTATACACTAAGTGTAAACACAGTGCCGGGGCACAGGCAGTGCCTGGCACTCAGAGCTGCTCTCATGACTTGGAGTGCTGTAGTGAACGCCTGCTGCTGTCGTGTCTCACCTGAGGGTCATGTGTGCCTGGACCCAGCACTTAGGTGATGGGCTCCGACTGAACCAGGACAGAGTCCTGATGCAGAGCTGCTCCTGTCAAACCTCTGACCGAAACCCACCAGAACTGCCTTCAAAACCTGGGTCTGTCTGATCCCTGTGACTTGAGAGGTCCTTTGCTTTCTCAGATTTCATCACTTTCGTGTGCAGGCACACAGAAGTAGGCACATGGCTGGCCCTCATCACGTGGTGGATGTTTGCACTGCCCACTTAGGAGAGGTGGTCACTGGAGATAAGAACAGTGTGGGGTGATACATTTCCAGGACAGGACTGGTGAGGAAGACACACTTGACAAGAGTCACCTCCTCTTGGACCTACCAGTAAACTAGCGAGTAGCTGGTGGCCACAATGCAGAGGGCGGCCAGGTAGTGCCAGCAGAAGCACATGGTGATGAACATGATGTTGTCATCATTGTTCTGGTCCCATTCAGGGCCTCCAAAAGGCGGGAACAGCACGAACCCAATCTGGTGAATTAAAACAGAGGAGCCAGCCTTGCTGTTATGCTGGTTGGACCCGCGAAGCCCCCACGCCCGCCAGAATATTCGCAGTTACCCAGACAGCTCACACCCCACCCCACTGCTGGTGTTGAGCGGCCTCTCTGCAGGGAATCACTCTCAGTTAGCTCTGGGATCATTGTGGCCTTGCTTAAAGTTTCAGGGCCCACGTTGCCGATGAGCAGTCTAGCAAGGAGAGTCTGATAACGGTATTAGTAGCTCTGCTGGGAAGGTGGGTCAGGGACAGCCTCGGCCTGCTCGCTTGTTTATGTGTCAGCAGGATGTGGATGGCTAAGGTCACACAGGTCATGGGCGGCGGGCATGGTGCATCAGTGCCGCCTCTCCTGGCCCGCTCCGGACACCTGCTTCATCCTGGCTCACACCAGGTGAGGAGCGTGGGTTTACCTGCCAGAACCAGGTGCCCTGAAGGAGGAGGAGGCTGGTGCGGAAGAGTTCCAGCACGATGTTGTCCCGAAGGACTACCTCCACGGCGAGGCTGAGGGCGCCTCCGAATACAGCACACAGCAGCAGGGAGTGGATGTGCTGGTCCAGCGGCGGCCGGTTGTGCACATGGTAGTAGAAGAGGAAGCCTGAGCGGAGCAGAGGACCATCAGGCCCGAGGGTCCTCTCCCGACCTCAGCCTTGCTGGGACGTGTCTGTGTGAAAGCTGGCTCTTCCAGCACTCAGGAAGTCCGTTCACGTAACGCTCGGGGGCGACACTCTGATGCAGGGTGTGTGTGCGTGTAAGTGTGTAAGCAGCACAGATGAATCTTAACACCTCTTCACCGAGATGGTAGGGTACAATACAGGACGGTGAGATGTTGCTGATGTGTGACAAATGTCTGTGTATAACTGAAATTCAGTCTTACCCTCCTTCAGCCTTTATTCAGTCCTTCCTGCAGTACAGAAGCAGATGAAGGGGTTGGATCACGACATGCTTGCGTTTTCCCAGTTAACATGAGTTACACTGGGAGCTGTGTGCTGGCTGCTGGTGGGCCTTCTGCTGGAGCCAGACAGTGACTGTGCTGCATCAGGGTGAGGTGCAGAGCCCTTCTCCCCTAACCAGAGGGTCAACCCCTTGCCTGATGGTGTGTGGAGAGGCCACGTAGGTGGGCAGGAGTTGTCTGTGCCTAGGGTGCTAAGTTGCTTCAGTCCTGTCCAACGCTGCGACCCCATGGACTGTAGCCTGCCAGGCTCCTCCATCCATGGGATTCTCCAGGCAAGAATACTGGAGTGAATTGCCATTTCCTTCTCCAGGGGATCTTCCTGACCCAGGGATCGAAGCTGCATCCCTTGCATCTCCTGCATTAGCTGGAGGGTTCTTTACCACTGACATCACCTGACTTTGGCTAAAAATCCCATACTCCTCCTGCACTACTTTATGTGCTGGCTGCTGGTGGGCCTTCTGCTGGAGCCAGACAGTGACTGTGCTGCATCAGGGTGAGGTGCAGAGCCCTTCTCCCCTAACCAGAGGGTCACCCCCTTGCCTGATGGTGTGTGGAGAGGCCACGTAGGTGGGCAGGAGTTGTCTGTGCCTAGCGTGCTAAGTTGCTTCAGTCCTGTCCAACGCTGCGACCCCATGGACTGTAGCCTGCCAGGCTCCTCCATCCATGGGATTCTCCAGGCAAGAATACTGGAGTGAATTGCCATTTCCTTCTCCAGGGGATCTTCCTGACCCAGGGATCGAAGCTGCATCCCTTGCATCTCCTGCATTAGCTGGAGGGTTCTTTACCACTGACATCACCTGACTTTGGCTAAAAATCCCATACTCCTCCTGCGCTACTTTATGAAGTCTATCATTTGTACCATCCAGGACACAGGATCAGGTCCTGTGTAGGGTTTTCAAGTTCAGAGAGTGGGATTTTCTGGGGAAGGTAACTAAAGTCTCAATATTTCTGATCTTTTGTGCTCCAGTCCCTCTAAATCTCCATCCATACCACTTCGTTACCTTCATTGAAGGCAGCCAGAGCCATAACCAGTCTATCCAGCCCCAGGGGGACGTGGGTGATGAGGTAGGTCAGCATGTCCATGATGCCCGAGACTGCGAAGAACAGGTACATGGTGCTGTGCTGCCAGTTCATGAGTTTTACCCAGTGGTCCTCGTGGTACAGGTGGAGGTGGGGCCCGTCAGGAACAAACTGCTCTGCCAGTATCCCTGCAGGGAAACGAGAATGGAGGTCAGGGAGGGGAGAACCACTCCAGGACCAACAGACGGCCAAGTGACCCCCAGGGACAGGTGGGGGTGGCCACAGCCCTGTAGACCCACGTCGCTGCCTCAGATGCCATTATTTCCATGTAAGCTATTTGCCAAGAAATCTGCAGACACATGCCTGTGTTGTTCCTTAGGGGGACAAGAGCAATAGGAATGCAGCCACACAACTACAGCCCATGGGGTCGCAAAAGAGTCAGACACAACTTAGCGACTAAACAACCAACAGCAAAGGTGCTACCAACCGTCAGCCTACCAAAGCTTGGTACACAGTGGATGCTATGGTAGGATATTTAGGGCCCAACTGAAAATTCTCCATTACCCCTACTGGTGGAGAAACTTGTTTCACAGGGGCCAGGAGATGGCTTACGGGTTCTGGGTTTGATGAGAATTCCCTGAGTCAGATGACCCCCAACCTTACCGATGACTGAAAACAAAGTTCTGATTGCAGCTTCGATGATCTCGAGACGCTGGTAGTGATGGGTCAGTTGGCTGCTCTTCTCCTTTTGATAAAAGTATTTCAGTGGGTGTTTCACCGACCACCACAGTCCAACTATCAAGAAGAAGCTCCCAGGGAGCGCATGACCCTTGAAGTTCGCCATCAAGTCCCAGGACACCTAAAGAGTAAGGCGACAGCTGTTAGGTGGCTGAATGAAGACATAAATAGTTGTTTCTGTAGGAAACATGATCCATGACTGAGGCTTCCGAGTTGTAAGCTGTAGTAAGAAAGAGCCCCTCCTTGTCATAGAACAAACCTGTGTTATATCACTGAAGTCTTATCTGTTCAGTGAGTTAACAAGCCCAGGAGAATACACTAGCTCTGAGGCTTTTTTTTTTTTTTAAAGTGAAACTGTTGATTGCCCAGTCATGTCTGACTCTTTGCGATCCCATGGACTACAGGCCGCCAAGCTCCTCTGTCCATGGGATTTCCCAGGCAGAAATACTGGGGTGGGTAGCCTTTCCCTTCTCCAGGGGATCGTCCTAAACCAGGGATCAAATCTGGGTCTCTTGCAATGCAGGTAAATTCTTTACCATCTGAGTCACCAGGGAAGTCCAAGGCTTTAAAAGAATGGGTAAAATAAAAGGGTTGGGGGGCTTTGCTGTTGGTCCAGTGGCAAAGACCCCGAGCTCCCAGTGCAAGGGCCCAGGTTCCATCCCTGAGAGTTTGCATGTCGCATCTAGAAAATCAGTGCTGCAGCTAAGATCAGGAGCAGCTAAATTTTTTTTTTTTAATTGAACGGAGGGAACAGAGGATGGGTAAATATTTCCTGATCTTAGAATAGAAAAACCTTCCTAAACATAAGGGTAAAAGAGGGACTTCAAAAAGAGAAAGTCACCTGCATAAGCATCTTACATATGAAACAATCAGAAGGCAAACCGTTCAGGAAGACGTCTGCAGGAGCTGTGATAAATGGCTATTCTGCTACGGAGCTGTTATACATTATTAAGGAAAAGACCACAGAAGAATGGGCAAAAGACGTGAATGGGAATGCTAATTGATAATACTGTAAAGATGTTCTGTTGAAAATACTGTTTTTTCACCTAATTTGAAAAATTAAGGTTTTTTTATACCCCTCTAAGTATAAGGTCATTCAAATTTGCTAAAATGACAAAGCCTGTCATTCAGCCAGAGATATGCAGAGAGCTTTATCTCAACTATTCTGTGACTCATTTCTAGGGTTTTCCCTGTTAAATTTCTGGTTGGCCTGCTGCTTAGGCAGCTGGGGCTGTGACTGCAGGCTAGCAAAGCTGTGCATTTATTTCCCCTGCTCACTGCCCAGCATTCGTTCCCATGTTTACGCCATGAAGCCAAACTTTGCTTAGCCTGCCCCCATCACTGTCAGGAGCTGTGTCTGTACAGGCAGCCGAATGACTTGTTTTCATGGCCAGCACCACCGTGGGTAAAATTCCTAGACTGAGGGGGACTTCCCTGTAAACCAGTGGTTAATATTTACTTGGGGTGTGATCCCTGGTCAGAGAGCTAGGATCCCACATGCTATGTGGCCAAAAAACTAAAACAGAAACAGTATTGTAACAAATTCAATAAAAGCTTAAAAAAAAAAAAGGTCAACATTAAAAAAAATCTTAGTCATGTGGACTGAGTCGGGGGGACCCCATTAGGGTGCAGCCAGAAGGCCACCATCTCCCACCATTCTTACCTGAAGGTCTAAATCGTTTCTTAATAAACGCTGCTGATGAGAGTCTAGCTGAGCTCCGTAACATCGCTGCCTTGGCACCTTTTGTGTGGCAGGTGGCCTGCAGGGGCTTTGAACTGACACTAACCTCTTATGAGCATGCCCGTGAAACAGCTGCTGAGTCACAGTGATAAACAATCTGGCGTCCCAGGGCCTTCCCCACAGTGTACCCCTCGGATGAGAAGCCTGCAAAGCATACCCAGACCCTGCTCTTTGGTCTGAATTGACCAGTTTGGCTTCCCTGGGAACCCTGAAACAGTCCATCTGTGGACCCTAGTAAGGGCGTGTGTCTGCAGTCCTGCTCCTTCTGCCTGCACACTGCCTGTCCTCCTCCTACCCTGCCCCCCACAATGGGCTCATCCAGGTCCTGTGGGTAACCAGTTTTTCTATTTCAGTTCTCTTTTTTTTTTTACTCTTTTCATTTGCATTTATTTAAACACAGTTCTCAAAACATTTGAGTGAAATTGGGCCTCCTTTGGTAAGCAAAGGACCTGAAAGTAATATTTAAAAAATGAACAGGCAAAGTCTTCAGATCATCCACAACACAGGTGTAGTGTTCCCTTCTTTTTTTCTCAAAGACTCTGAAGCACCCAGTTTTTCCATATAGTCTTAAAAGCTAGAAGAACAAGAGTACATTTGTGGTGGAATGTATTGTCACTGCTGATAACTGAAATACCATCCCCTTGTAACAGCTTTAAGAAATAGCCTTTTTAAGGCATACATTGTGTAACTCATCTTATTCCCTGCTATATATAATACAGATTACATAAAGGCTGACAAATTCACATTATATAAGCAGTAAGCATTTGCTGTATTGAAAGATCTTTAGTTTTTAACACTAGCAGTATAGAGTTACAGAGCGTAATTTTTATCACTTAATTGCAGGTATATTAAGTATGGTATGTTTCATGGATTGGAGGAAAACGGGCATTTTTGTCTTTAATTTACTACTGACAATCTAATCTGAACAGTTCTGCTAAGCATTGATATGTTAGAAAGAAAAGTAAAAACCAAACTTTATTGTTGCTCTTGTAGGCTTTTGTCAACAGGCTTACCATGTGGCATTTCAGGACCCTATTTAACAAGTACCTTAACAGTCACCACAGCTTCTCCATTTATTGTCTACCTTGGCCAATTTCCAGTTCCTTGACATAGGTGGTTTTGGTAACTTTGTCTAGCGGTATGCTTATTGTGGAGGGGGAGGGAGGCAGGGGCTGCAGAAAGGAATTGCCTATCCATGCCATTACTGGAAGGCCCCCTTCTCATTCTTTATTAATCCTCTACTGGAAAACATTTTTCAAAATTTATATTTTCATGTCATGGTTAACCCTGTTCCTCTCCTGATCAAGCCTGTGACACTCCTTTGCTTTCCTAATCAGAGCACAGAAAGCCACCTTTGCAAATCCTCCTTGCCCTTCCCCGTTTTTCTGAAAAGCAGAACCCTAAATGGAAACAGCCCTTGTCTGCTTGAGTGGTGTCCGCCCAGTTTGTCCAGCCTCACCCTTCCCATCTACCTGTTTCAAAATTCACACCAATGGATCCTAGGACCTGCACCTTGTCTGGAGAAACCAGTTTTAACTTCCTGTGTACTTCTTGGAAGGCCAAGTATCCTGATTTGACAGGGGAGAGGAGCAGGGGAAGTTTCTTCCATTAACAAATCAATAAATTATTGCCAACAAAGACCCACTGTATATAGCACAGGGACCTCTGCTCGATATTATGTAACAACCTAAATGGGAAAAGAGTTTGAAAAAGAATAGGACATGTGTATACATAACTGAATCACTTTGCTGTATATCTGAAACAATCACAACATTGTAAATCAACTATGCTCCAATATAAAATAAAAAGTTTAAAAAGCACAAATTAATAGGTTGTTGTTCAGTCGTTCAGTCATGTCCAACTCTCTTTGCAACTACCTGGACTACAGCCCACCAGGCTCCTCCGTCCATTTGATTTCCCAGGCAAGAATACTGGAATGGGTTGCCATTTCCTTCTCCAGGGGATTTCGCAGCCCTGGGATTGAACACGTCTCCTGCATTGGCAGGCAGATTCTTTACCACTGAGTCACCTGGGAAGCCCAACAGGTTATTAGATTAGCTACATTATAGATTGTCTAGAGAGTGAAGATGGGTCCAGTCTTGAAAAAGAGGAAATGAAGTAATTTCAAACAGAACAGTAAAAATGTAGACTTCCAATAATTTGTACAATAGTAAACATTTAAGGGGTGAGGGTCCTTGAATACACAGAATCCTGTAAAATACTTCAATCTAAGGAAAGGCTATAGATAGGAAAACATTAGAAAGGGGTTCCACAGAGATGGAACCTGATAGCTCAGTTGGTAAAGAATCTGCTTCCAATGCGGGAGACCTGGGTTCCATTCCTGGGTTGGGAAGATCCCCTGGAGAAGGGAAAGGCTACCCACTCCAGTATTCTGGCCTGGAGAATTCCATGGACTGTATAGTCCGCGGGGGTGGCAAAGAGGGGGACATGACTGAGCAACTTTCACTTTCTTTCCGCAAAGACAAATTTCCTTGCTTTTAATATGTTTATTCTCTTTTGATATCACACGAGATAAAATGGGAGTATGAAGGGAGGGTTAAATGTTTTGAGGGATAGTAGCTTTGAACTAAGGCTGGAAATCAAGAAGGCTAGAGGTTTGGGCAACTTTTCATGCGGAGATCACTGGAAATGGAACATTAAGACTTCATCTCTTTCCTTATACTCCCAGTTTTTAACCACCCCCCACCCCCAATCTGTATTCCTTCTTTCTCATTTAAGGTAATTGAAATGTAAGACAAGATAGAAGTCAAAAGAAGAGAAGGAGGTGAGGGTGGGGGAGAGTCGGGAGCGAGGAAAGGAGAGTCCTAGGAGTAGGGGAGGTGGTGCAGAGGAAAGAGAAGCCATGGGTGTCGCCGCTTGCCTGTAGTTAATACGGTGCCTCTTAAATCCAGTGCTTCCCTCTATTTTAGATGGGGAAAGTAGGAGCTGTGAAGGAAAGGGTGTATGGAGGTGAGTGAGAGGATCAGAAAAAGAAACAGGAGAAATGAATTTCACTTTCTTTCTCAAAATTAGCAGAATCTAGGACTTGGCATCCACAGCAAGGGAAGCATTAAAGCCAATTTCCTCAAATTTGTGGTGACAGGATACAGATGCGTAGACTACCAACTGTCACATTCTGGACCTCTGTTTCACCATGGGATAGTCTTCACCGTGGAATGTTATATGACCACTATCAATGAATTAGTGTTAACGCCTATTCTTCTGTGAGGCTTTCCATGAGGTTCTATTGACGGAGATGTGAAAGATGGAAAAGACCACTTATAATACAATCCTATTTTATGTAGCACTGAACGTCCCAGGTATTTGTATACACGTGTACGGGTATGTGGTTGCAGGAACAGGGAAAACAACATGGAAGA